CCTCTTTTTATTTTTTTTTCTTTTATTTTTATTTTTTATTTTTTTCGCTTCTCGCCTGTGATTTTGGTTTATCAGTTCTCCTAGTTTGTTTCATTTGCATCATTCTTTGGTTCTTTCTTGCCGGCCGTTTGAATCCCGTCTGCGGAGGTCATAGCTGATGTTACTCATGAAAAATTGGGATAATTGGGATGCCCATCCGCGTCTTAAGGAAGCGAGATGGGTTGGAATGATACCCCCGGATAGTCATGGGAGGCCAGGGATGGGTGTCCCTGTAGGCCGATGGAAATATGGCGTCTGATCGTGTTTCCACGGAGCGATGTACATCTCGATGGCATCTTGTACAAGTATATTGGAGAGTATATATCTGTCTGTTTTATGGATCTTTTGTCTGTCCCTTTTTCCAATTAAGTATCCGTATATTTGTAGTCGCCGGGTCACGCGTGCGGCTGAGGCTGAACCCTACCGCTGGGCACAACATCGTCTCCTTTCTTTTTTCTCTTTCCCCCTCCCTCGTTTCTTTTTCCCACCAGCCGTTCGAGCTTCAAAACCTGACTAGACCTTGCAGGGTTACACTACCGGTCTGCGTTTTGCCTCTCCTGTCGGTCGCCCCTCCTTGGCTTTGCATGATTCGCCCCGAGCCATCGTATCAAGGGAGGGGAAGTGCGTGCGCCTGACAATCCCTCGAACCAGCCGGCCTGCTCGATATTAAAAAACCCATCCTCACACAGTCTAAACCGGGGACGAAGAAATGAGAGTTTACCATGGATGGCGCCTTATTGGTTGTCGCTCTGACTGGACCGGACAATGGCCCGGGAGCAGTCAGACATCCGGTCACACTACTGTGCGAACTAGTCATGGACTCATAATAGTCGCATTCTTCGATAATCGACCTTCCCCCAATGAGCGACCCCCTCGCGCCAAGGAACGATCGCCATGGGGAAATTTGGGGAAATTGATCAGGTCTGGGGTTGCATTCTAGACTTAGTCGCTGCACCACGTCCAATCGTCATCTTACTGATATTATGGTATCACCGCGACTGGCATACGAGGAGGTCTGCTCTATTTTGAGTTCCCTGGAAGTCAAATATCCGCCCTAACTACCTCGGTAGGCGTGTAAAAGCAATGTTCTTCGCCGTTTCTATCTGGGTTTTCCTCCGAGAGGTCATGCCTCCTAGTCTAAATTTGCCCCTGTGTCTTATATTCCTATTTTCCATGTTTCTTTTTTTTTTTTTTTTTTGCTTTTTTGCCTCTTTTCGGTCGAACCCGTTCGCTCCGCCTCCTTCCTTCCTAGCGTTTCCTAATAAGCAGTAGTGTATTGTGTTTTCTTATTTGCTTTTGGGGGAAAAAAATCTCCCCTGCACGAGGTCCAGAAAGATGGCGCGAACCCAAACACTCCACCGCAAGCGAGTTCCGCGGTGCTTGATCTGGGTAACTGTCATATTAACGACATGTGATGGACCCGCCCCTCTGCCCAAGGGACGTTCTAGTTCTTCTATAGATAATAGATATAGCATTGGGGGGGGATCCGTCGGGGTGGCCGCCCTCTCTCCAGTCCTTCCTTTAGTCCCAGCGTTCCCGACACTCTGAGCGACCAGAAAAGGATCCCAGTGTCGTTGCATGCCCGGTCGCTCTTTGTCTGGTTCCTTTGCTGCTTTCCCACTGACATTGCAAGAGGTGCGTTCATTTCCAACGTGACTTCATTCACCTGATGGGGCAACACCCCGCATTCCTGTCAACACTCTGCTCCTGTTGTTCGAAACTCCCAGGAAAGTTGACATTTCCATCTTCAGTGCAAGGACCCTATCAAGTCATCCCGATTTGAAAAAGTCGGTACCGTACTAGGAGGATAAAGTCTGGAGAACGGAAAAAGCAACAATTGGTGTGTGTTTCTTGCTGCATGGACCTAGCACGGTCCTGTCATCGTGCATGCTGACCTGACGCAAGGGCTGGCTTGTCCCCGGCAGTCTTGATCCGAGCGAGTGAGACCTGCTGTACATCGAAGCTCAGCAACATATACACGCAATGGCAGGTGGAAAGCCCGACGTGACCGAGGTGGGCGCGATCGATGTGCCGTTGGCCCCGAAACCTAGTTTCAAGTCCCGCGTGGCCGCTCATTATAAGCGTTGGTGGTGGGCGCATGTCATTGCCTTGATTGCGGTCATCCTGGTGGTCGTCCTTCCGGTGTAAGTCGATTCGGCTCAGGCCGATGACAGGTGGACCAGAGCTGGGAAAGTACTAACGCCCTCTTTTGTCCGGCATAGGATCTATGTCGGCTATCCGAACATCGCCCAGGGCGACATCAATGACTCGACTCTGGAAATCACATCGATGGTTATTAGCGACCCCGCTCCCGACTCCTTCCAATTGAACCAGACACAGGTCCTCGGCAGCCACAGCCACTTCCATCCCAAAATCTATGCCTTCGACGCCGACGTTAGCCTCTCGGGATCCGCCCCGTTCGCAAAGGTCCGAGTGCCCGAAGTCAAGGCCAATGACGGAACCATTATCCCTGTCGAGCAGAAATTGGACCTGAGTGATGCGGATGCGTTTGGCGACTTCGCGAAGGCAGTGATGCTGAACGAGGAGATTCACCTGAACATCTACGGAAAACCCGAGTTGAAGCAGGGAAGCTTGCCTACGATCACCGTCACGTATAACAAGACCGTCACAATGAAGGGTGAGTGTCCATGGGGCAGAGTCTTCGCTCGGATCGAATGCTGATACCCATGCTCCAAGGTCTCAATAAACTGGCCGGATTCAAGCTGCTCGATTTTCACGTCGGGAAAAAGGACTCGGATGGCAACAATGGGCACGGCAAAGTGTCGATCCCCAATCCGTCCGTGATGACCATTAGTATGGTAAGAGTGAATCAAATAGATGAAACGAGTCCCACCGGGTTCGGAAATCGATTGGGAGCGCACAATTTGTTGGCTGACCGATTCGCTTTGCAGGGCAACGTTACTCTCGATCTGTCGGTAGACGGCACCAACGTCGGCCAGTCTTTCCTGAATAATCTGGTAATTCGGCCGGGGAACAACACTCTCGATATGAAGGCCAACGTAAGCTCTGCGAAGGTGGCCAACTTCTTGCCGAAGTACAAGGACAATATCGTTCCCGTCGACATCACCGGCAACTCCAGCGTGTATCATGGAAAGGACCTGCCATACTTTGCCGCGGCCTTGGCGGCGAACAAACTGTCCGTCGATTTGAATGTGCTGGAAGCACTGTCCTAAGGGAACTCACCGGGCGGGCATCGGCCTATATCGCCCGTGGGTGTGCGAGCTTGTTGCGGTCTGGGTTTCTGTGTGTTACGGTGTACGATGAATGTGTTCTCAATTCTCATTGCCTTGATTGTTTTTTTATTTTTTATTTTTGTTTTTTCCCCTCTCTTAAGTAATAAGTTATGACATAGTCAATTAATCTCAGCCGTTTCGGACGATCGCCCAGTTCTGTTCTTGTTCTCTCTCCTTGTGTCTCCATCGGAGTAGTCTATCGCTGGAAATTGCGGCTTTTTTTCTTTTTTCTTTTTCTTCTTTCCCTCCTTCAGGTTTTGCTGCTTTCTCTCATTTTTCGATCTCCGTTAGTCCATCAAACTCACCTGTGGGTCTCTTAATTCTATCAGACTCTCCGCCGACAACCACAAGACGAGGTCCATTCAATCCACTCCGGTTTAGGATTTCTTTTCAATTACATTAACTATCTATAGCGTTCAACCGTGTCACATGTCTGATGCCATTCCCACGCCAACTGAGCATCAAAGAAGGACGAGCTGTTATCGGCCTCATCGGTGCCTAAAGGGGAGTAATCAAAGACGTATGTGCATCTGGTTTCTTATTATTAATAAGATGTCATCCTCAAATTGCCTTTTATCAGCGTATCCAACGTTTTCAAGACGGTCAATCGCACACACTGAATCTGTATTGCCATACTCAGCCATCGCTGACAGAAGATATTTAGCATCACAATAATGGGCTTCTGCAACCCAGTTTCACGCGTACAGCATTAAATGGAATTGAATATCAAGAGATTTGCTAATTTCTAGCGCGTGTATGTGGATGTTATTGCCATTGTCTCAAAGATACTAGACGAGCACATCGTGTTGGGCTTTCGGAGGACCTTGTTTGCATCTCCGTCTATGCTTTTGCTGTTTGGGTCAGCCGCTACTAGCTGTATGGCGTGCTGCAGCTCATTGTTGGTCTGCTCATGCCGCTCCATGCTATCGCAATGGACTTTCTGGCCAGCATGCCCAAGATCAAAGGTCACAAAAGAACTGTTAGTCGCGGTGGATAAATCCACCTAGCGGAGCAGTCTGACCCCCAGACACAAGGACTGGGTTGCTCAACCCATCTCTAATTCTCAAGTAGTTGATGGCTTTTTTTCTTTTATTTTCCCCTCCATAGTTTCATTAAACTATCTCGTTCTACCCTGGTGTTTCTGGCACTCTGGGTATTCTAATACCTATCCCAGCAGCAGTTTCACTAAGCAAAGAAATTCAAGCAAGAAGGTATACTTCCTCCTTTGCCACTATGATATCTCTTCATATCTACAAAGAACCTCGGGCATTTGCTTACCCACGGACACCAGAGAATCCGTTTTCTTAGTCAGACCGAAAGCTCTTTCAGATAATTATTCACATTGCAGTCATGAACACACCTACGGATTTGCATCCCGACAAGATTGGTTTGCAGGCGGGCTCAGCCTTTTAACTCCTTTGTCTGAAAGCATACCATTTTCTTTATCGCGGTGTTCCATCCAGAATGAAGTTATATCTGGTTTCTACCCGCGGGCTTCTCTGTTATGTTTTATTTCTCTTGTATTCTCCGCCTCCAAAAGCTCCTGCATCGCGCAATTATTGCATACATCTCTCCCAACAGCAGCAGAAGAACCAGCTTGCTTGCATTCATTATTTCATAGGATACCCATCCCTAGTTCTGCCCGCCCTTCAACCTAGCCGCCTCTGGACGTAGCTGAATCGAAAACCTTTCTGTTCCGTTTTTGAAATGCTTAACCCACACGATTATCGCGCGCTCTGTTTGGCATTGGAAGAGAGACTCCGGTAAGTTGATTATGCACAAGCCTAGTCTTGATCGGCGAGAAAGACTGATGAGACTGAAAGGCAAATCACCGAGACAAACAGTTCGTTTGTCACAGGGAATGGTTCGCTTGTCGCAGGGAATGGTTCGCTTGCGGAGAAAAACAGGTAAGTCAAAGAGAGAAGCAGACAGTCAGTTTGATTTGAGAAACAGACAGGCTGACAAGACGTTCAGGCAGAACGAAGAGCTACTTCAGCCGACGACTTTTACAGAATATATTCACTTCTGCCATGAATCCCTTTCAAAACCTTTAAGAGTATCCGCTGGCGTAAAAGGAGTACTACGACCAGCCACTGAGAAGTTCTGTCCGAGGCTGCTGAAACACTGGACAGAGTGTGAGGACGAGCAGGGAAAGATTTACCGCGCAGTGTGCCACTTTCTCGGGCAAAATCGTCTTTTCGAGCCCATCGTCGTCCTACGGGGGAATGGAAAAGAGGTCGAACATAACCCCATAGGTAGTGAAAAGGACCTAGAAGTCTATGAGCGGTCCTCAGTGGAGAACCACGTCGCCCATATTATTACGGTGCTCTGTGGGATTCCCGCTGCCTAGAAAAGATTTCACCTTGGTTCCAAGGGTATCCGTTTCAAGAATCATTCTGATGACCTGCAAACAAGTCCAAAGACCCGGCCTCAAGTGGAAGGAAAGGCAACAAAAGCAGCCTCCAAGCCTGATTCCTTCTGTGTCCACGATAATGAAAGAGACAAGACCCTTCTGATGACGGGCGAATATAAAGCGCCCCACAAATTGCCTGTGGATAAACTTCGTGTAGGGTTGCAGATGGAAAATTTCTATGAGGAGCTTGTTCTGAGAGAAACGATTCCAACGGAGAAGAACAAAAAGTTCAAATACGATGCGGCTCGCCTAGCGGGCGCAGCTATTGTCCAGCAGTATCACTCAATGATGGAGCTTGGGCTTGAGTACGGGTATATAACGACCGGCTTAAGATTGGTACTGCTGCGAATACCGCAAGAGAGTCCGGAGGTTCTTCGCTATCATCTTTGTGAGCCAAATGTTGAAGCAGACCAAGGGGACACGCAATGCTTCTTGCGACCTGTGACAGCGATTGCACGGGTGCTATGTTTATGTTTAATGAGCCTGAGTTCAACGGCCCTGGGTCCTGAATGGTGCACCAAAGCAGCACCCCCGACCTGGAAAATCGGCTTTGATGAAGTACACCGTGAGCTGTACGAGCGGTCCGACCTGTGCGAGCAGTCCAAGAATTCCAAGAAGTCCGATACAGATTCTCCTTCCCTAACCAAAGCTAAGGAATCGACAAGAAAATCACCGATCCAGACCCGATCACGGACTGCCTGCAGAAAACCTACGGATCAAGTGTCCCGAGAGGATAAACCAGACTCCGATCGCGCCCTTGGCCCCGCCCCTGGATCAAAACGTTGCTATAGCGATACCGCGTCGTCTTCGCCTGCGCAACAACCAAAACGCCCTAAACGTGAACATAATAGGCCCAGAAACAGCCACCGACATCGCGATGCGCAGTTTTGCACTCAGAAATGCCTGCTTGGCCTAAGAAGACGTGGCAAACTGGATGAAAACTGTCCCAACATCAAGCTTCATCGAGAGAACGGCAGCAATTGTCACCGTACCACCACTCGCGGCTTGGTCACCTTTATCAAATATGCAGTGGATGAATGCCTCGAAAACGCCAAGCCAATGGGATCCTGTGGATTATCCGGCGCGCCATTTAAGCTTACCAGCGTCAGGTATGGGTATACCGTCGTGGGAAAAGGAACTGCATGTTTTCTGTGGCCGCAGCTTAAACGGGAGGCCGCTGTTTACCGGATGCTCTCTCCCACGCAGGGATCGGCAGTTCCAATTTTCCTGGGAAAGTCAACATGCAGAAGACATATCACCTTCATGGGGCCGGGAAGATTCGGCATATGATACTCATGGGGTGGGGAGGAGATTCATTAGACAGGACCGAGACCGATGTCAAGAACAAGAACAAGAGCATAGCGAGGGCGGAGAAAGAGATTCGGTCCCTGGGGGTCCTGCATTAGGACCTTGCATCGCGAAATATTCTGTGGAATACCGATCTAGACCGGGCTTTGATCATCGACTTTCATCTTTGCGAGTTCGACCTGCACCGGATCAAGGGGAAGCCGAAATGGTTGGTGGAGAAAGGTAGCGGTCTCGCTTTAGTAGACGAAGAAGATAATGACGAGACCCTCCGACACTGCCCCTACCACGCGACCTGCATCCATCGCCTCGTTGAGAGCTGCCCGAACGAAAAGTACGGCATTTACTGAGGGAGGTTGGGAAGTTGGGAAGTCCGGGAACCCTCGTTGCATGCGGTCACTTGACACCGTCCCGTGGCTTCCTTCCTTTGCTTTTTCTTCTGTTTCTTCTTCTTCCTCTTCTCCCTCCAACTCGAAATATCAGATCGAATCCCTCTGCCGTTTCTGCACCGGATCGCAGCCCCACTATCAACGGCAACCTAGTCAACTTGGCACCCCAATCTATTAGCAATTGAGTTGGCCGTCGAAACGCTGGCTCGGTCAATCATTGATCTATCTTGCACCCACTATTAGATAATTGAAATTTGGATCCGCCCGGTCGATTTGGATTTTTGGAGATGTTCTCCAACTTCCTTGTTAGGCCACCTTGGTGATTGATGATCAACATTCCAAGAATTCCCTCACCTTCGGCCGCTTCGATGCTATCGTCATCCGATGCTGGGCATCTCGGGTTTTTCCCGGAAGAACCCACCTGCCTCGAAATTGGATCCCTGCTCGCTCTATATAACTGTCCATGGCATCCGCGATGTCAAGTAGGTCTCTTCTAGTCGGCATCCAAGACAAGTAACAAGCGTCTCCCTCAATCTCCTCGACGCAATTCTAGCCGTGGGCAGTATTCATCATGGGTTTCAGCCTCAAGTCTCTCGCCATGTCGGCCTTGGTGGCTGCCAGCCAGGCCTCTCCCCTTCTCTATACTCGTGCTGGCAGTGACTCCAACGCGACCTACGCCTACACCAACTCCAATGGCCTCAACTTCACCCAGATGAACACCACTCTGCCCAACGTCACCCTCTTCGCTACAGGTGCGTCACTTTCCCTTCGCTTGCGGTCTATATAGTATCAGTCAAACTCACAATGTCGTAGGTGGCACGATTGCCGGCTACAGCGCCGACAGAACGGCAACCACAGGGTACAAGTCCGGTGCCGTCCCCATCGAGAAACTGATCAAGAAGACACCGGAGATGCTCGACGTGGCCAACGTCGCGGCCGTTCAGTTCACCAACGTGGGAAGCGAGGACATCTCCTCGACTCTCCTGCTGCGCATGGCCAAGCAGATCAATGAGGTCGTCTGCAAGGATCCCACCATGTCCGGCGCCATCGTCACCCACGGCACTGACACTCTGGAGGAGACCGCCTTCTTCCTCGACGCCACCGTCAACTGCCACAAGCCCGTCGTGATCGTCGGCTCCATGCGCCCGTCGACCGCCATCTCGGCTGACGGCCCCTACAACCTCCTGGAGGCCGTGACCGTGGCGTCCAGTCCCGAAGCCCGGGACCGCGGTGCCATGATCGTTCTGAACGACCGCATCGTCTCAGCCTTCTACGCCTCCAAGACCAACGCCAACACCATGGACACCTTCAAGGCCCCCGAGATGGGCAACCTGGGCGAGCTCGTCTCCAACAGCCCCTACTTCTTCTATCCGGCCGTGGAACCCACCGGCAAGACGGCCTTCGACGTCAGCAACATCAAGTCCATCCCTCGCGTTGACATCCTTTACGCTTACGAGGACATGAAGAACGACACCGTTTACTCGGCCGTCGACAACGGCGCCAAGGGTCTTGTGGTACGTTTTGAACTCCCCTTACCGTTCCTATCATCCCGTCACTAACACTCGAACCAGTTCGCCGGCTCCGGCGCAGGCACCATCGGCACCTCCGCCCGCAACGCCATCCACAACGTCGTGAAGTCCTCGCAAATCCCCGTCGTGGTCAGCACCCGTACCGGCAACGGCGAGGTGCCCACCCTCGACGACAAGGCCCAGATTGCCAGCGGATACCTGAACCCATCGCACTCGCGCATTCTGTTGGGCTTGCTTCTTGCGCAGGAGAAAGGTATCGAGGAGATCCGGGAAGTGTTTGCCAAGATCGTTGCTTAATTTGCTTTTAATATTTAATTACTTTTTTGATGTGACTAACTGAAACTGACTGGCTGGCCGTGTAATACGGTATGGTTACCTATGAGATATGGCTTTTTGTTTTTTTTGGGCCTCTTTGTTTACACTACATGTATAGACTTGATTAGACAGATAGACCAGTGAGATTCCTAAAGGAGTATAGCTGTTTCATTGTGCTTCATTTTGCTACAACCTGCTGATTATGAAAGCTAGAAAAGGAATGAGTACAATTTCTCATGCAAGCAAAACGAAAAGATATCGCAATACATAAGAATTAGTTAATGAAATGATATCCAGCTTTCTACTGCATATACTGGTCAAAAAGAAATTGATGATGTAATAAAAGCAACAAAGTATGCAATAAATTCTAGCAATATGCGATGGTAGCTGTGATTGTCTTTTATCCTATTTTCCACACATGGGGTTGATTAATCCTGTAATTTGTAAAATTGTCGTGTGCTATCTTTTTATTCTTCTTTTTCTTCTGTCTCATGCCTTCTTCGTAGATTGCATTGGAAATAGGGTATATTTGGACCTTCCGGTTCTGAGGTTGTTGAGTCGATAATAACATGAAATGGACTTTCATTCGATCATGAATGGATCCGCTTAACGGAGAACTTAATCATGAAAGACTACCTTCGAGTGAAGTCTGGTTGATGTTTTTTTTTTTGGGACATACTACCATAGCCCAAGGCGTAGTGGATCGAGCATCGAGGATAATGATACAGACCATGACACGGGACCGAGGACAAAGAGATGGGGAAGCTCATCATCCACCCACCCCAGTAGACGCAGACTTGCCGAGTCCTTCGTCCAAAACAGCCCGTTTCGTGAGATCGTCATGGATCCAGGATTCGATACGCGACGCCGTGTCGCCCACCAACCGGTCGTAGTAGATGTTTCGCGGCAGAAACATGGACTGGTGGGCTACCACCTCGTCCACACCTTCCATGAGTACGGGAACCCAGAGGTCGTCTCGTCCTTTTATGGAGTCTTTGGGAAGGTAGCAGAATTTTCGGAGGGATTTGGAAGGGGAGTTTTCCTCGTCGCCATCGCCATGACCGCTGTCGAGGTCATTTGCGTGATCTTGAGTATGTTTGGCTATAACGTCACCATGCTCCTCATCAACAGTGGTGTGTGTCTGGGTTTCTTCCTGTGCTTTGATGTCAGGTTGCGACGTGGATGAAGCATCTGAGTCGCTTCGTAATCGCTCGTCCTGAGCACTGCCCTTCTTAGCCTTTTTCACAGGTCCGGTACTCGTCGTGAAGTAATTCACAAATCGGATCCGGTTGACTCCCGAGTCGGCAGGCGTGTTCCAGTCATCAATGGCCTCTAGTTCGATTAATTTCCGATGCCGTCTGATCAACTCAGGATAATTGTTCATGCACCCCGCATGGTCATAGTATGAAAAGAAATACCGCACGAGGGACCGCGACAGATTTTCTGAGTATTTGGAGATAAAATGACGGGCTCCACTCCAGCCCTTCCGTTTTGTCAGGTGGAGATCGTTGGGGAATGTCGGGTCGAATGTCTGATTCTGATCTGGAAAGTTGAATCCCCCGGGAGAAGAAGGTGCCTCAGGATCGCTAGCATCGTCTGAGGAGCGATGGAATAAGCTCCCAATACCGGTAGCCACCACTCGAGGATTAAGACCTAGGAATGGAACGTCGAAATTCACAAGGCCTAAGATGCGATGTTTCAAGCGGTGATTCCGTGACAGTAATGCCACCTCAGAGGAGACGATGCCACCGAGACTGTGGCCGAGGAGGATGACATCGAGGTCAGGTGCCTCATGTGGGGACAACCTGTTCGCTCAATGAGTATTGTGATTGCTTGAATACATTATATTCAGAGACAAGACTCGCATACCATTGACTAAAGTGGTCTCGCGCAACATGGATCGGCCCGCGAGTCTTATACCGCGGATAAACTTTGGTGTAGACCACATGGCTTTCGCTCAGTGAGATGGTGAGTAGATCATGAAGGTGTTTCGGAAAGTTTTGAAAACTTTCCTCGGAGCCCATGAAACCATGAACGTAGATCAGCAATAATCGACGCTTCTCGTCGCCGCCTGCCGAGGGGTCTAGTGCTAGAGAGGCCGTGGAACGAAAGAAGCGGCTCTGACCGATGCCATGACCCGGGGGAGCCAGACGGGAGGAGTCCAACTCCCCATACGCGGGGGGAGGATCCGAGCTCCATTCGACAGACATGGGGAGAGGACCGGAATGGGATCTAAAAGATGGAGACGTTGGAATTCAAGGATGACGTCCGTCCCCGGTTGTCATTGTTTTTAGGCAGCGAACATCGGACGGTCGGACTAACCCGATTGGGAACAGCATCTATGGGGATTTTGTTGATCTTCATGACGCAGAAGGATGCTTGTTCTTGTTGTGGCGGTGACCTCCTTTGAATCAAATCATCCTCTGCCCGGGTTTCAAACGACTCTGCCATCGTTAAAACTGACCAAAAAACAAATAAGACAATTCAATATACAAGCAGACTAATGGACATGCATTTTCTCATTTGATACGGATACCATAAAAAGTTACTCAAACACACGCGAGCCTTCAATTTTAGCCCCTCCCCTTCTTGGCGTTCTTTCCTCGTTCCCTGCACACGCTGGTTCTTTTCGATGGTTCCTTTGGGTCCGTTACATTTCGTGGAGCGTGTTATAGCCAGTTTCAATCAGGCTCCGAGGGCCCTGGGCATCTCCTCCGATATGCCAATAAAATAGCCCTCCAAGCTTGGACCTGGTGACGAATTTCGCCTTTTGCTGCACCGTTCGCGGAGTGTCGTAAGTCACGAAACCACCATCCCCTCCCGAGCAATATGCCGCCCCAAGTTTATCGTCGTGGTGCTCTTTAGCCCCGGGCCGAGGCAGGGCGTTGTAGTCGAATACCCCATCCTCCCCGCCGCAGCCGGCATAACGCTGTCCCGGTTTGCTACTGTCGAGAAAAGACCGACCATAGGCGGGAATACCTAGTAGAAGCTTCTTCGGATCGACACCCTGGGATAGAACATATGACACCGAGGAATGACACGAGACAGCTCCCGGAGAGCGTCCATAGAGTTGCGCGTGGTGACCTGTCTCATTCGTCCAAGGCCCCGAAAAGTCATAGGTCATGATATTTATAAGGTCCAGATACATCTGCGCTTTGGACAGGTCAATATTCCGGAGAGCCCACTGTCCCGCCGGGAGACAAGTCGCCAATACGTATCGCGGCGCAGGCAACGCCTCCCTGAGTCGCGCCAGAAGACGCACATAATCGAGTCCCTGCTGAGGGTCCGCTGGGTGCTCCCAATCAACTGGCAAGAGGGTCAGTACCGCGAATCAGATGATTGAGGGCGTACGAAGGATCCGATTCTACCATCGATGCCATCCAGACCGAACTGGTCCACCAGCTGCCTGGCCGTCCGAGCGAAGGTCTCCACGCGGGCTTGGCTGCGGGCCACGCCCGCGAAGTTTTCGCTTCCTTTTCCCCCTCCCCCAACGGACAAGACAACCTTTAGCTTGGGGTACTGCGATTTCAACTGCGTGAACGCCCGGATACAGCCTTGCGTGCCGTCCACCGGCATCTGCACATCCGCCCATTCATCACTCAACTAGAACTCGACGTATTGGTCAGCAAACCATCCGACCCCAATAATTCACGTCCCTCCGAGTGAAAGGGGCGTGGGCGGGAGATCCACATAGACCGTGCCGTCTTCTTTGACCCTAGAAAGAAAATAGGCTGATTAATGACTGTCTGCAACCAGAGTCAGGCGAAGGATTCCCCTGCGGTTGTGTAAGACTAATACCAAGCAAACGCGTAGAAGACATGCGAGACGAATCCCAGTCTGAGCGAGGATGGAGCTTGTTGACGGTAGATTCTCCAATTCGGATAGTACGCCGCATTCAAGTAGAATGGGACTTCATACGAGCTGTTACTGGACCGCTCGGCGGCCTTGCGCCGCCAGTGGGGGAAGAGGGATCCGGAGAACATGACGGGCGATGTATAAAGAGGGGGAGGAGAATAGGGCTGACAGAAGGATCGGAGAGATAAACAATCAATAATCATACAAGAACAAGATGAGAAGAAGAAGAAGAAGAAGAAGAGAAGGAGGAAGAAGCAGAGGAAAGACCAGAGAGAAGGCGATGAGAGCGCAACTGCCTATTACGGCGGGGGTCACGTGTGGTGCTTTGCGCAGTTTTAATTTTTTTAATTGTTTTATGCATTTCCTCTTTCTCTTTCTCTGCCTCGTCATCTTCGTCTTCGTCTTGGGCGTTGGCATCCCTCGGCCACTGACAATAATTAAAAATTAATAATAATAAAAAGCCTCCATGCTGAGTCAATCCGCTAGAAGGCAACAAGGCAAGAAAGCAGCAAAATGACATAAATGCCATGCACCTCACCCGACGCGCATACTCCCCGTCAATGAGAGAAAATGGCGCCCCCCGCTGACTGCTTCGGTTTCTTGTTCTCCAGCCTGTCTGCATAGCACCCCAAAGAGTCTTTGCTGATCAGAACTGAAGGCCCAACCGTCGAGCGGACGATGTCCACCCCCACCTATTTTTTCTCTCTGTATAAGCCTCCGACGAGAGATGAGATCGTGACCATTTTGGCTGCAGTCGATGATTACGGATTAGGCAGAGGGGGGCGTTTAATGGATCGGACGGGCCGTCGTCGGTGAGAGTCCGTGGGCCTGGGGAGGTGACGCCCTTTTTTTTTGCGCCCTTTTCTGATTTCTCCCTGAGAAGTGGATCGGACCATCCGCACCAAATGTCAGCTTGGATCAACAAGTGGTCTACTCCGCGCGCCAATAGAATGCAAAGATGAAAGATGGTTTCCGTTCGGACTGAGAGATCGGATTTGAGAGGAAGGATCTTCCTTGAAATTATTCCTCCTTAAGGTTTTTCTTCTCATGCTCGTTGCTTTTTCCGGCCTCGTTCGCTAGACCTGGGAGCTTGTGGGGAGAAAATGCAGCCGCCGACTAGCGATTTTCATCCCCGCATGACAATGCCTGCCTTGCGATCTGACTGGCGCTCGGATAGTCAAGGATCACTCTTGCGTCAATCATACGGAGTACAAGCCATGTCTTCCGTCTGTCTATCGGTCTGATTCTGGAGAGAATTGCCCCTGCCCATAGGTAACAGCACGTGCCACCTTATTTCCTACTGAGAAGGGCTTCCTTGGCCTCTCCGACCAAACATGGACTTGGGCCTCCGTCAACCCACGCCATCCGTCGGGCTTCGCAAAAGTCCTTTGCCGATCGCGGAATATCAAGCTGAGCATTTGGCCGGTGCTTTGGCTGTGAAGGCGAGGCATGTGATTCCTGTATGCAGGGGCAACCGAAACCAAGTAACCATCGCATTATTGGGCTTGTTGCAGCTTGGCCGTGTTCCAAGTAAGGCGGCATGGCTGGCGTGGGGGATGACAGACTGCCTTACATATCACACCGTACTCCGTACGCTGTATGCCCACAGTAGATCTTAGTGGGCCATATCGGATCTGCGGAGTACTGGTTCGATGCTGCCCTCCGACCGTCAACATTAGTCGAAATACGAGTCGATGCTATTCGTGTTCTAATTCCAGCCTCAATGCGCTAGGTAATCGGATGGGGTAATTTAATTCCACTATGGACCGAGACAGGTTCTTTCCATTTCCAATCTGATTAGGATCGCTTTGGATTCTATTGCACATGCGTTCCGTCATGTCAGCCAAATAGCCGTAGTCCACCGTTTGCGCATCATGTCATTTCCATGATTTGAAGGGACGCTGTAAATGTTACTTTACGCCTATAAGCTTGAAGACCTTTAATAGTTTTTTCAGTCAACTATCATGCTTTCCGTTAAGTCTCTAAAAAGGATTCAATTTAGCCCTAAATAAGCAGTCTTCTCATGCCCACTCAACCCCTACCTTCCAGAGTGGCTCGAAGTACGACAGGTCAAGCCCGAGGGCAGCAATTCTTTCCCAATGGGCGATTTATTTAGAGTTAGAGATCTAACTGACATCACATCGAGATAGAGTTTGCGAGACCGAAGATCGATACTGACTCAGACCTGTGATGGCTCTAAGTCGCGAAAAAACGCATTTGATAGGCCACTTGATTTCGCCGGAAATAGCAAACATCAGCCCAAAGTATGTAGTGTGTATATATATGATGTACAGTAGTATTCAGATCAAACAATGCCATTATCTTATCAGTTGACGACCGTTTGAAAGCACTGGTCGAAGATTATAGTATATCATTATGATCGCTTTCCCTCGTTCCCCAAATTCTTTGTCCACGCTATCATAGATTCACAGAAACAAAATTAATAATATTGAATCATCCCGACAAAAACAAGATCATCATTGAACTAGAAAATAGCAACCGCAGCCGCAGCCGCCAACGGAGCCGCAGTGATCAAAGCCCTAGCAGGGCCTGCAGCCCTCGCAGCATCTGGCGTCTCAGTTGCCTGAGGAGCCGTGAACGACGATAACCCGGCAGTCACCGGCATTTCGTAGTAATCGACCTTATCGGTGCCGAAGGTCGACGAGCTAGTCGTGCCGGTCGAATAGGACGTGCCGTCCATCTTCCCGGTCGCCTCGTAGCTAAGAGAGCAGCCAGCGGATTCAGAGAAGGAGGTGAAAGAGCACTGTAGCTCGCGGGTAACGGTGACGCCGTTGTCTTTATCTTTGCCGGATTCCCAGGCGGTGTAGACGCCGGTGAAGCTGTAGGTCTCGGAGCCCTGGATGAGGGTCCAGGGCTTGTCGATGTGGCAGTCGGAGGTGGGTGCGTCTTTGAGACAGGCCACGGCGTAGGTGGTCGCCACGGCGTTGATACCGGCCACGCTGGCGGCGGTGCTCTTGTACCTGGGGATCTCGATGCTGGTCCAGTCAGCACCGAAGTAGCCGACGGTCGTGGTGTCCTCGGCAATGGATATTCCGGCGAGAGCCGCGATGAGTAGGAATGAGGTCTTCATCTTGCGTGGAGCACAGGAAAAAAAAAAGTGAATAAATGTGAATTGATAGACGCAGATGTTCGTCAGGTATGAAATTTCGATTAGAAAAAGCAGAAAGAGCAGAAAAGTTCGCACGAGGGACAAGGCCCAGTAAATAGTAAATTCGGAAAGCCGTTGACCAGGGGCAAGGCCTTGTTCGAACTCCCATTCCGGTTATGATATACGGACCATGAGGCCCAAACTACCCAAACAGGCTAGACATCGAGAGTTTCATGTACAATCCAACTGCTAGCCCCGGACTTTAGCCCCAGAAAGAGAATATCACAGGCCATGAGTCACAGCCATGGCAACTAGCTCGGGGTTGAGCACAGCCCTGTGCATTGAATCCCTGGTGGAACAGAGATATGAGGCTCGTTTTGGTACCATTGGGGTTGCATCGCTCCAGTAGCGTTCCCTAGCCCCCATTTATTGTGGTTTGGCAAAACGGGCTGAGAATTTAGCGAAATTTGCACTCCAAACCTAGCGATGTTGTTGGTCGGTTTGGTTGGCTGCTGGGTGCCTAGTAGTCGAGTAGCATGGGAACTAATGTCGGATCGGGCCCTCTCGGAGATGGTTCTTAGGTCTGTGTACCTCAAAGGCCGACAAAACGAGGTGTAATACTTGATAAAAGAGTTTTTAACCACAAGGCTATTCAGCATTGAATTCAGCCCCCACATATCAGTTTCCACATCTTCCGAAATTGTAGGAATTCCGAACTTTGGGGTCTTGCAGACTCCGTAGCCGCTTAGATCAATCAAATTAAGCTTTGTCCACCAAGTGTGCTTTCTCTATGACAAGGCTCTGCCTTAGAAATTCCACTGATGAGAAAAGATCAGGAAAATGCTCTTTCATTAACTGACCAATCAAAATCTCAAGAGAAATATGTTAGAATAAAACTTGACAGGTGATATCATGGCGTTCGGACTTGAAAAAGGTTGGAAAATAGTCTAAGTCAATCCGGCTGATAGATGATTGTTGTGGCAGAAATTATGTGGGTCTATTGAAGAAGCGATTATTCAGCCAAGGAATATGATCATATTCAAATGAATGAAGGTCTTGATTCTTCTAACTACACGATAAAGAAGCCGATATTTATGCAATCTTAGAGGCTTCAAGATCGTCATAAATCATACGGTTCATATTGATCGGTTGCATGATCGGTCCGGTTAAGCAAGGCGATGATATTAGCGGTTTAGTCATCTTCCGCGGCCACAATTGTAACTAGTTAACGTATTTCACTACCGAGCGGCGCACCTGTGTATCCCATACTAATCAAGCGTTTTTCGATCTTCAATATCTCAACCACCATTGGCCCCATTGTAATAATATGTTGATAACAGCTATATATATACTTCTGGAATATCCATTTCTAGCATGGTTATATATAGACCAGTATGTGATCTGTTATACTAGGTTAAGATAAAATACAGTAAAATACAATGTAATATATATTACTAGAAGATATAGAGAAGTATGTCCTATATAAATTTAATATTTAAATTTACTTTATCCCAATATATTAATTTACAAATATAAAGCAGATTAGACAAAGTTTAGTTAAGATATTAGAGGTCGAAAAACGCTGGATTAGTATGGGATACACAGGTGCGCCGCTCGGTAGTGAAATACGTTAGTTAGATGATCCGGGATCAGAGGCCCTTTAACTATATAGTAGCCGGAAGTCTACCTAGGTAAGTTGGGGGATATGACATGTAGTATTCATTAGGCAAAGGCAACTGAGCCACGAATAAAGCCCGAGAATTAAACCATTTTCCATCCTTCAAAAAAGTAAGGATCTCATAGAGGATTATTAATGTTGTGAGCAAGAAGAAACCATCTCTTTCCACAATGAACATGATTGGTATCTGACTAAGCCGCCATTGTTTCATTGCCACCGCTTTCCATTTACGATCTCTTTGATCTTCCTGCCATCTTCCAGACCTCCAACTTGCTCACATTAATTCATTGTCTCTTCTTCATCCCCCGTTCTGAAGCTGATTCCTACCATCCCCGGAGATTTACACTGCCATGACTGCAGAAGTGAGCCACGCTGCGGCGCAAATCCTATCCACCGACAACGCGCGCGACCCCAGCTACGACGAATTCTCCTTCCTACCTTTCCTCCGCCAGAATTTTAGCTTCGGCCTCGCCAGCGATGTCCCTGTGTGCAAGGCTTACAGCGAGGGCCACTGCCCCCTAGGGCCCGCGTGCCCAGATCGCCATCCCACCCCGTCGCGAGTCACGACGTCGACGACCACTGCCTCAGGACTGGCACCGTCCACAACCCACGGGTCGCTGGTCTGCAAGCATTTCCTCAAAGGCCTCTGCAAAAAGGGACTGAAATGCGAATATCTGCATGAATACAACCTTCGCCGGATGCCGGAATGTCAGTCCTTCTCGCGGTCCGGCTACTGCCCCAACGGCGACGACTGTCTCTACCAGCACGTGCGGGAACAAGCTCGACTTCCCCCTTGCGAACATTACGATCGGGGATACTGTCAGCTGGGACCGCTATGCGCCAAACGCCACGTGCGTCGACGCATTTGCCAATACTACTTGGCAGGATTCTGTCCGGATGGAAAGGCCTGCGTCAATGCCCATCCGCGATGGAGCGAGAATCTCCCGCGACCGTCAGTCCGGGTCGAGAAGAGCGAGGAGGAATTGGAGCGCGAGAAGATTCTGATCCGGGAGGAGCAAGAAAGGGAGAAGGAGCGGGAGCGAGAATGGAGGTCCGAACGTGGTCGCGGCGGGGGGTTCATGCGCGGTCGGTTCAGGGGACGAGGACGGGGTTAAGAATCCTGTCCAGACGAAGGGAGGGATTCTGACCAGCATTCGGTGTTTGAGTTAATTTATTTTGGAGTTTCTACGATCATCTCAAGATACCCCCAATTCGAGGCATTTGACGGCTACCTTAACCCCGCCAATGCAATTTGTACCAATGGCAACTTCATTTTTCTTTCTTTCTTTCCCCCCCTCCAATTGTTGAGCTATCGAACCATTTGGTCACGGACAGGCGAAGCCCGGACTCCGGGGCGATGAATGAGGTTCCTAACCAGATTGGGGTCGGGTATGTTGATAAAGTACTGTTTCGGCGCCAACAAATGGCATCATGTACGACTCGAAGTCTCCCATAGGCTGCAGAAATTAGGAGTGGGCCCCAGGGTGCACCCGGTCAGACATTGGAGTTGGGAATACGCATTTGACAGTTGTACTCGGTTGGAGAGGGATTGACGAGGTAGCAGGTGACATCATGACTAGAGGCGTTTAGGAAGTACATAGAAGTTACCTCTTAATATTGACATAGGGGGAACGGAATTCTAGAAAAAAAAAGAACCCAAAAAATTCAAAACTAGGAAGAAAATCCACGGCAGACGAAGAGACCAAAACCGGCAAATTGTCTTACAGGAATCTGAATCAGAGATCAATAATACATGGGAGATTCATTTGTCAACGCTGTGTAAGAATCAGCTAAACGGGAAGGTCTGGCGCTGATTGGCCTGAGGCCCCACTCTGGCGGGCATCTGTAATCGATTACGGCGGATGACTGAAGAGCGTTTGGACGGTCTGGAAGGGGCCCGCAGCTCAAGCTTGCTGGGGGTGTTGCTGCTCAGGAATCGACTATAAAGAGCTGCTGGTTCGGTACCCCTCTCCCCCTCTCACTCCATCTCCCTCCCTCCTCTTGCTTGTTCATAGTCCTCTGCTTTAGAGCTCTCAATACCGTCACCATGGCTCCCAAGATCGCTATTGTCTTTGTATGTGACTTCTATACTTCTGCGATCCCCCACCTCTCTCTCTCACACACACCCTTTCTAACCCTTCGTCCTGGACATTCGAACTAACCAATTGGTGATGTCTACAGTACTCCATGTATGGCCACATCCAGAAGTTGGCCGAGGCTGAGAAGAAGGGTATCGAAGCTGCCGGCGGTAGCGCCGATCTCCTCCAGTAAGCAACCTCTTCTATGACGACCGATTGAGAGATGTTGCGAAGTTCAATTGCTTATAATTGATGCTCAGGATCGCCGAGACTCTGCCGGAGGAAGTCCTGGCTAAGATGCACGCTCCCCCCAAGTCCGCTCACCCCATCGCTACTCCCGACAAGCTGAAGGAGTACGATGCCGTGCTCTTCGGTATCCCCACTCGTTACGGTAACTTCCCTGCTCAGTGGAAGGCCTTCTGGGACCAGACTGGCGGTATCTGGGCCACCGGTGGATACTGGGGCAAGTACGCCGGTCTGTTCGTCTCCACCGGTACCCTCGGTGGTGGCCAGGAGTCCACTGCTATTGCCGCCATGAGCACTCTCGCCCACCACGGTTTCATCTACGTTCCCCTCGGATACAAGACTACCTTCCCTCTCCTGTCCAACCTGGACGAGATCCACGGCGGTAGCGCCTGGGGTGCCGGTACCTTCGCTGTATGTTTTCCGTCCTCATATCATTATCTGAAGGATAACAAGAATTCGTTAACTGACCATGGAATCTCTGGTACAGGGTGCCGACGGTTCCCGCCAGCCCACTGCCCTCGAGCTGCAGATCGCCGAGGAGCAGGGTAAGGCGTTCTACGACCACGTCTCCAAGGTCAGCTTCGCTTGACTGCATGGCAGCGAGGAATCCAAGCCCGAGACCTCTGCGGCCGCATCCCAGCAACAGAAGAGCACGGAATCGGAGACCTCCAAACCAGCGCAGAGTAAGCAGAGTGGACAGCAGTCGGGACAGAACACCCAACAGGCTAAGGACGAGACGAGCGAGGGACCTTGCGGTCTGCCCAAGAAGTGCAACATTCTCTAATCGTATCGTTTCCTGATACCCTGTGGGAGCTTCCGGCCCGATCTGCTTTACCGTTTCTGTTTAATCTAGGCGTTTATTATGGGAGGTATATGATCTGATGTTATTTTCTTTTGTTGATACGATGTGAGAAATACCCGTAAAGGACTTGGCATGTCAATACACTATATAGGCGTAGAAACATAATAAAGGATTTCTATTAACCATGAACTGGAATTCTTATAGTATGAATACTATGAATATTATTTGCGGCATCGAGAGAATAGATTCGTTTGAACGTAGTAGTTACAGTAAGGGGATTACCTGTAATGGGCCTGATTTCGGCGAGGTTCTGCGGGGTTCTGGTAACGGAGTGTAAGCGCCGACCGATGACGATAGAGAGAGTGAGAGAAGCTCCGTGGGCTTTCATTCATTCCTTCATTCTGTTCTCCTCCTTATCGGATCATCATTCACTCCCGACATGTCCCGTTAAAGTCATACATATATATTGCCAGTCTCATTCAATCTATCTTCTCTGCCACGTCCCCTTTCCTTTTCCCTTTTTGAGCTCTCGTCATGGCGTCTCGGCCGATCATTTTGAGATTCGAGAGCCGCAACGGTCAGTTTCGGTTGACCGTGAGCCCGCAGGAATCGTTCCCATCTCTGGAGCAAAAGGTGAGTCCTAGAAGCCGTCTTCTGGCTTGCGCCTTATTTCCGTGATAAAGAAAAGCGGCCCAATGCTAACCAAGTGTCCCATGTTCTCTAGATTGTCGAACACCTTCCCGACGACGTTGATCCATCCTCGCTTATTCTCTCGAACAGACCGATAGGCACTGGTGGAGAAGAATGCCTTTTAAATACTCTGCAAGGAGTCTCGATTGAGGCAGTTGGTATAAGGTCAGTTTGTGGCAAGGATCAGTGGCTTGGGAGAGATGTGCTTTGATTTGAGCTGCTGATCTCCTGGGTTTAGGCACGGTGACAAGCTCTTCCTTGGGTATCAAACCAAAGAGGGACCACAGGATGGGTCGACCAACGGCCAAGCTGCCACCACCAACGAGTCCTCTCGCCGCTTGAATGGAGCCCCGGTACCGCAGACCGAGACAGTCGCGATTCGCCCTCAGCCCGTTTCACCATCAGTTACGATTAAGAACCCCTGGGATGTGGTGCAGCAAACGCCGCTGGATAACGCACTGGATAAGAAGGATGGAAAGATCAAACGCAACAAAGACTTGAAGATGTGCAGGCACGGCCCTAAGGGCATGTGCGATTACTGCATGCCCCTCGAGCCCTACGACCCCAAATATCTCGGCGAGAAGAAAATCAAGCACCTGTCGTTCCATTCGTACCTGCGAAAACTCAATGCTGCGACCAACAAATCCGAACTCAAGAGCTCCTTCATGCCCCCCCTCAACGAACCCTACTATCGAGTAAAGCGAGATTGCCCATCCGGACATCCGTCGTGGCCGGAGGGAATTTGCACCAAGTGCCAGCCTAGCGCCATCAGCTTGCAACCCCAAGAGTTCCGCATGGTGGACCATGTGGAGTTTTCAACGCCCGACCTCATCAACTCGCTGCTAGACTTCTGGCGGAAGTCGGGTGCCCAGCGCCTGGGTTTCCTCTACGGTACTTACGAGGAGTACACCGAGGTGCCTTTGGGAGTGAAGGCGGTGGTTCAAGCAATCTACGAACCACCACAGGTAGACGAAGTCGATGGGATTACGCTTCATGAATGGCCCAATGAGAAAGAGGTGGATGAGGTTGCTCGTCTGTGCGGTCTGGAGAAGATCGGAGTGATATTTACCGACCTACTCGATGCCGGACAAGGAGATGGCTCCGTGATCTGTAAACGGCATATTGACTCTTACTACCTCTCATCCCAGGAAATCACCTTCGCGGCCCGATTGCAGGCGCAGCATCCGAAAGCAACGAAATGGAGTCGAACGGGCCGATTCGGTTCCAATTTTGTCACCTGCGTCCTCAGCGGCGATGAGGAGGGAGCTATCACGGTGAGCGCCTATCAGGCTTCGGTCGCCGGAGTTGAAATGGTACGGGCCGATATCGTTGAGCCCTCCGCAGAACCGTCCGTCATGCTGGTGCAATCAGAGGAAGACGGCACCGAGAACGAGTCACGATACATCCCCGAAGTTTTCTACCGCAAAATCAACGAATACGGCGTGAGCGCTCAGCAGAACGCAAAGCCCAGCTTCCCCGTCGAATATCTTCTGGTCACCCTAACGCATGGGTTCCCCACCGAGTCTTCACCTCTCTTCACTGACACTAGTTTCCCCCTCGAGAACCGCGAGGTGATCGGCGAAAGCCAGGAGCTTCGACATGTGGCTAAGAAGCTAGTTGCCCATGGAGATCCCGACAAGGCGATTCGAGCAGTATCCGACTTCCACCTTCTCTACTTCCTCCATTCTCTTTCGACTTTCAGCAAGGTAAGGTTACCAGATCATGGCCATGTCTACATGGCGCGCTAACACTTGCGTTCTCCAATCAATAGGACGAAGAAGCCCTCCTGTGCCGCGTCGCAACCACCCGGAACCCCTCCGACGGACTACAGTTGATCAATTCTCCGGGGTGGGCAACCCTGGTCACAATTCTTCAGGAAAGTGGTGAGCGGCCCCCCAAGCGCCCCTGGCTGAGTTCGGCCGAACCTCCTCGCGCAGTGCCCAAACGCGAGAAGCGGTTTCTCCCGTCAAGGCCTGAGTCTCCCAAGTCCGAGAGTGAACAGCTTGCTAAGAGGTTCAAGGGAGCTAGTCTAGAGTGACTGGTTGATTTCGAACAATCCCACCTAGCCGCGATATCACTTCGAGTGTACCGAAACCCCTCGTGCGTGAACGATCAAGGCACTGTCATCGAGACTATCCCGAATGAACTTCGCCCTGTTCAACTTGCGCCAGGGCTCCAACCCTCTACCCTTTTCGCTCTGTCTGGAGGCCTTCAACCCGATCATCTCCAGTCTTCTCTCTCTCTAGTGCATATGTGTTTTGGTGCCCACGGATATAAGTCTCGGCATATGATTTCGGGGTTTCTTTTCTTCTATTCTAGCCTTGAAAATAGATCTCGCGTCTTAGATGGTACGAAATCGGTTGTTCCTCTCCTGTGTCTCGGGTTAGTATTGGATTGTCTTGTGTAGCCAGTTAGCCGGTAGTGGATAGATATGAATCGATCACATCCGTATACCATTGTGTTGTTAGCAAGACCTGCGTTACTTTGAGGGTTGGTGCGTATTATCATGCGACCTTTCGCAGCTTTGGTGCTTAGATATTGGGGTTGATGTGAAATTAATTTCAAACCTGTATGCCATCCATCTACGGCTCTGGAAGAAAACCTGCCTCAGGCCAGCAAACCGGCAGATGGTTGTTGCGCACCGGGAACAACCGGCAGAACCAAGCCAAACCCAAATCTGACCGCCAACGCCAAGCTGACCGCTTCAGGCCGACCGACTGCCAGAAGACCTCGATCTAACGAAAACAGAGCTCAGCGCCTTGTAGCATCCAAATCAGCGCTCACGGTCGCAAAAAAAGGCGACAATTCAAAACGGACCCGGAGTTAGATAGCTGGTAGCTTTGTGTCTATAACACTTAATCTTTAGAGAATTAACATGCTTTTTGAAGAGGGCAGCGATCTGTACACATTGGAGCCCACACAAATTGTGTTATTTTCAACATTACCACACCCAGAAAGTCATCTGAAATCTGTGGTTTTTTAGAGTTTCGGCGACATGACCCCACCCGGGGACCACCAAACCATGCAAACATCGTCTTTCTATTTACAGGATATACTACTGTACAATACTCTAGAGCAACCACTTTCCCTCAGCGTCCTCCCACCCAAAATCCTCGTTCGTCCAACCCATGAAGGTCGTTTTACCATCCTTCTCCCCTCTCATAATTGGGATATGATCCGCAATGCGGAGCGAACCGATCGTCCGGTGCGCTTCGTTCAGCTCCTCCATCTCGGCCTCGGTGAGGGTGACCAACCTGAGATTCTCCTCAACGCGCGCCCGTGAACTACTCTTGGGGATGACGCTGATGCCACGCTGCACGGCCCAGGATAGCGAGACGACGCCGGTCGAGCATCCGTGGTTGGCGGCGATGTTCTTGAACAACGGGTTGGTGAGGATCTCTCCGGCAAGGGGGGCGAATTCAGCTCCTCCGCCCAGGGTACTTGATGCAAGAATTCCATGTTCAGCGATTGAGTCTCCACCAGAGAAGAGAGCGACGAAGCAAAAGGCCGACTTACCTCCAACTCGTCACCATGATGCCCTTCTCCCGACAATACGCGCTCAGTTTATGATTCGGGTTCAGCGCATGCAACTCCACCTGGTTCACGACCGGCACGATAGTCGCCTCAGCTAACAACGCGTCCAGGGTCTTCTGACTGAAGTTGCTAACACCGATGGACTTACAGCGCGGGCCGATGATCTTCTCCATCAGCTTCCACGTCTCGACGAACGTGGGTGACTCATCGATGCCTAGCGGGGTGCCGGAGTCCGGGGCCGTGGCACAGGGCCAGTGCATGAGGAAGACGTCGATGTAGTCAAGACCCAGGGCGTCGAGAGATTGCTGCAAAGCCCCCGCGGGATCGTGGTGCCATTTTCCTGGGAACTTGGTGACGAGGGTGATCTCGCTGCGGGGGATGCCTGAGGCTCGGATGGCTTCACCGACGACAGGCTCGGTGCCGTACCGCTGCGCCGTGTCGAGGAGGCGGTATCCGGCGTGGAGAGCGTGGACTATAGAGTCTCGTAGCTCGTCGTTGCTGGCTTGGCTTTGTAATCCTGTATTTGGGTCAGTTGTTTTGGCTGGGTGTGTGGTTCTGATCTGGATCTGGGCTGTCGTACCTTGCCATGTTCCCAGGCCCACGGCGGGCATTTTCATGCCTGGAAGTTGGGATGTCGTGGTCAGTATTTACTAATGGGTTATCTAGGCCAACGGGGCATGTATTTACCATTGTTGAGAGGGAAGGACGTGGTGCAGACGTTAGACGATGACATGGCAAAGACCAACTTGAGCACTCAATTGGATGGAACCACACAACAGTGCTTGGAAAGATGGAAAAATATTGGACAAACAACCAGTACCACCTCGAATATTTATACACCACCTCGTACTCACAACGATATGAATCCTGATGACTCGATGAGAGGTAGTTATCCAACTTCATATTTATCAGCAACGGGGACCCTGAATCGCTATTCGCTCCATGGCCCGTCCGTCGGGTCCACCGTCCACCACCGCACGAGAGACATCGACGGGCTTACTCCGTACGGTGTAGCCGCGCACTAAACGCGACGGTGCGTGGTGTGGTTCGCCCTTACGCCACATCAATGCATGGTAATCAAGGCAGCGCTCCTCCTAACTAAATACAACACCCTGGGCCTTCTCGGTGGACCACTACACCTTACACATGGCATTTCATTGGCGATGGAGCCTTCTGTAGGTATGGGCTTCCCACGTATCTAGGAAATAACATTTCCCTCAGATCAGCTGTTTTTCAGTAGAGCTAGGAAACTCAGAGTAGAAAGCTTACCTAGGTCTGCTGGTCGTTGTACTGTACTTCTGGAACATCCGTGTGGACTGCGTAGCGTGCAACAACAGGGAGGGTCCTATAAAAGACGACGCGGCAGAATCATCAAAACGTTAGAACGCATCGTAAAGGAAAAGTCCAACGCCATTCGTATGTATCATGTCATAAAGCATCATAATCGTCAAGGAGTACAGAAATCTGCGAGGTTTTGGGTGGTTCTCATGAGGAGGAGCCGGTGCCATCGGAGCCTGCTGTAAATTCGTGGATGGCGGATTAGCTTCCTCAAGCTTAACCATCGGTAACTCGGACATATCATTGCCCTGGATTCATCAACTGGGTCGACTGGATTGCTTGCTAAAGGCCAGGATTCGGGTTCGTCAAGGTCGTATTTAAGATCGGGCATCCAGAGGTTCGGTTTGTTTGATGGTAGGCCTGCCTTAGTCTTTTCGCAGGAAGACAGGCAAGCTGGCATTGCAATCAATCGTGCACCACTTCTCCGACTCGGCGACTTTCTAGTTTCTCATGTTTACGGGCTTCGAGTGCTGAACGGATTAGAACAAGGCTAGGCTGGTATCGGGGCCTCGTTATCGGGAATATCCGAGATAACGGGGCCGAGGAGTGTTTTAACAGACTGAAGCTCGTCCGGAATCTCCATAGGCGGTTTTCTCACGGTGTGATTCCGGTTATGATAGCGATGCTGAGTTGGATCGATCTATGTGCTACTGAGTACTGACTGTCCTCATCCAGTAGGACTAGAATTTCCCCGCATTGTTTGCCCTGTTGATTGCCGAAAAAGGCAAAGGTTTCCGGTGAGGGGAGCTCCCCCCACGGCAGCCTGAGGCACCCCTCACCGGGATCCCCTCACGTCATAAACAGCCCCGCCATCTTCTCTCTTTTTCTTCCCTCTCGCCCCCCCTCTCATCCATTCAACAATTCATCCTCGACCCCTACCAGCCGCCATGTCCGTTACAACCAAGGCTACGATCGCGTCTTTCGGCGGAAAACTCCTCAAACTTAGCCATGCCGCCTCTTCCACCAAATGCGACATGAACTTCAATCTTTACCTGCCTCCTCAGGCCTACCAAAACCCTTCGCAAAAGGTTCCCGTGTTGATCTATCTGTCCGGTTTGACCTGCACGGCCGATAATTGCTCCGAGAAGGGCTTCTTCCAACACGGCGCGAGCAAAAAGGGCATTGCCGTGTTGTACCCGGACACGAGTCCTCGTACGTTGGGCTCAACGGCCACGAGAACAAAGCTCCGCCAGCCTTGCAGACAATGACTAACGGCATATCTCTCTAGGTGGGCTGGACATCCAAGGCGAGAATGACTCGTGGGACTTTGGAACTGGTGCCGGTTTCTACGTCGACGCTACTAAGGCACCCTATAATGCCGGATATAACATGTACACCTACGTGACAGAGGAGCTGCCTAAGACTGTGTTTGCTGCTTTCCCTCAGCTGGATTCGAGCCGCGTCAGTATCACGGGCCACAGTATGGGCGGACATGGGGCTTTGACTTTGGTATGCTCTCTATCACCTTCGGGCCGGGATTCCGCGGAGGACAGAGGATTGATCTAACCGGTTTCAGTTCCTTCGTAACCCCGGGAAATACAAGTCCGTCTCTGCTTTCGCTCCCATTTCCAACCCCATCAACTGTCCCTGGGGCCAGAAGGCATTCGGTGGATACTTTGGAGATGATCAACAGGAGAAGTGGAAGGAGCACGATGCTTCCGAATTGGTGAAGAAGTGGAAGGGCCCCTTGGATGTGCTGATTGACGTGGTATGGGCAACATCTACTCACCTCGGACAGGAGAAGACAAAAAAGACTGATGCAAGCAGGGAACCGGCGACAACTTCTACAAACAAGGCCAGCTGCTCCCCGAGAATTTCGAAAAGACCGCCAAAGAAGCCGGCGTGGAGGGCGTCAAAGTGCGCTACCAGCCCGACTACGACCACAGCTACTACACCATGGCCTCGTTTTCGGATGACCATATCGAGCATGCTGCCAAGTACTTGTTCGCATAGTGGGTTCTATCTTTTCCTCTATGTCGAATTCCGGAATGTATACCAATGCCAATGCCGATACCGATATATAAAGGATCTGTTATCCCCAAATTGCAAGATATTACTTTCTAATTCTTTGAAGCGACCGCCAGGTGAAATCTTTGATATAGCCTCATGGAGGATAACGCCACATGTACTCCGTAGATAGATTGCGAATAGAATGCCGTTTGAGTGGTTTCACTGTTTACCCAGGTTGTTCCCCGTCACATCATTCTCTGTTCAGGTTGCATCCAGTCACAGATCAGGGATCTGAGCCTTTGGGCAGGCAGCAGGATTTGTCACCGACACCGCAGGATGACAGGTCGGACAAGCATCGCCACCCGCATCCAATCGGAATCTCGTAACGACAGTGATCCTGCCGATCACCGGTCTCTATAAATTGGCAGTTGCTGTTGGGCAGTTCGGCTTCTCGTTCTTCGAACTTTTCCCCTTCATCCTCTTGTTGGCTTCCGAGACCGCCTGTTCCCGTTGCATTAGTTCAGTTTTATTTGGTTTTTATCATTGTTTTCTCTTCCCGTCTCATTCGACATGCTTTGCCAACAGTGTCGGCGTATGTTTCAAGCCCCCGAGTGGGCCACCCATCATGCGGATGTTGCATCTCTCAGCGAAGCAGCTGCAAGTGGTTGTTCGATCTGCCATCCATTCATGCAGCAGCTGGTCCAGAAATATGGCAACCCCGAGGACGTTTTCGTCAACCCCATGAGTTATCGCGTCTACCAAGACGAGACACAGGCACAGATAGTACTTGACTTGGATTTCTCGAGGGATGGAAACGACGTCCTGGAGTGCCAGTCTTTGATGGCCATCCCCAGTGAGACCGTCACCTTCAATCCGACCATTCGCGAGAGACGCTCATCTCTTCCGCTGCAAGACGCCGTGATCGCGGCCAAAGGTTGGTTGACAGACTGCCAAGAGGGCCATAGCCAACGGTGTCGGAAGAATACGCAGCCTGCCTTCTACCCGGACTATTTGCTTGAAATTGATGGGTCGACGGTGCGACTGATCTCTCCGACCGACAAGGAAATCTCGGGTCCCTACGTAGCAGTGAGCTATTGTCGAGGCTCGTATACTAGCTTTCTTCAACTATCTACTTCCACCATGGCACAGCTCCAGAATAGCATCTCTCTTAGCGAGCTTCCAGTTGCCTTTCGGGAGGCGGCCGAACTCGTCCAAGGCCTATTCATTCGCTATCTCTGGATCGACGCCTTGTGCCTAAACCCGGATTCTAAAAACAGCGAAGATCAAGTACAACATACTTTTACGAACTGTCTCTTCAACCTTGCTCTTGCGAGGTCAAAGACTCCCGACGAGAGCTGCCTAGGGGCATGTCCGCTGCACGCAAAGCTCCCCTTCCAAGTGGATACTACGGGCTTGATCGGAGAAGACAAGAATACCAATATCACAGCCATCGCGGTCCCATGGGACTACTTCGAAAACTCCCTCTACCATCAGCCACTCGCTTATCGATCCGATAGCGTGCAGGAGCGGTTCTGGTCTCCGCGTGTCCTCAGCTTCGGTCTGGGAGAGTTGTTCTGGAGTTGCGCCCAGCTTTCGAACGCCAGCGAGTCTCTTCCGCGAGGCCCTGGGCATCTCGCCGAGGAGTTTGGATTGACGCAGAAGGCAATCCCAGACAGCTCTGATCCAGAAAAGCTTGGAGACTTTTGGTGGAAGATCCTGGAGGAATATACCGATGGCGAGCTGGATTGTCCAGAAGCAGGTCGCTTAGCTGGGGTTTCGACTATCGGCAGTCAATTGGCCCTCTCTATGAACGACCTATATGTTCACGGTCATTTCGCGAAAATGCTCCCATGGAGTCTTAATTGGCGCGTCGAAGTCCCACCATTGGAGGATAGGCGAGGCGTTCGAAGAGCCCGTAAGATAGACGCGGCGAAGCACACAACTCCCTCCTGGAGCTGGGGATCGATGGATGGCACATTGTATTTCTTTCGCCTGAGGGAGTGCACCAACCTGGCGGAAATTGTCAACCTATCAAGCTTGAGTGAGACAGGTTCCTCGAAACTTGCTATCACAACGTTCTGCATGGAGGTGGATTGGACGGACGGGACGCCTGTCATTCAGCATGAGTTCTGGAGGGAAGATAGCGAGCGATTTCACTGGCTCCAGGTCGATCTCGACGATGAGCGTTTCACACCCAAGCCGGGCGCTCGGCATCTACTCGCTGCCTTGATCGAGGACGATTGGCTGGGGAAATGGGAGGGATTACTCGTGGAGGAAGTGAGCGCGGGTGGCGAATCTTCTTACAAGAGAATCGGTCATTACATTCTTGATCGAAAACAAGGGGATGAGAAGCGAGAGCAGTGGAAGGAGGACTTCAGATTGATGTCTGGAGAGCGACAGGAGATAGTGCTGGTATAGTAAGTTCATCGAGTGAGGACCCAGGGAAGAATGTTCTCTCTCTATGTATGGATTTCTTTCTAGTTAAATACCGAGAATGCAATGCTACTTTTGTGCCACTCCATCCTTTTCGATGAGCACAAACAAACGGGGTGGGAGCCTTCCAGCGGTTGTAATTCCGTAAGCCGAGAATAGAAAACGGATACAACCAATTATTTCTACACTGTGGATGTGTCGACGGTGTCTTATACTTATTATTGTTTACCTCGCGCACCCGCCGCGCGCCGCAAGGCAACTTAGTTTGTACCAAGGTTGTGCCCCTCGGACATTCTGTTTGAAGTCACCACAAAATCTATACACTTTGAGATGCCAATGTTGATAGAGCTTGCAGAGATAACCATCCTGGAACTTTGAGATAAGACACATCACATTGATTCCTGGTTTAATCTTTTGTCTTGGAGGCACGAAGTCTGCATTTAACTATACCTTGGACATTATAACACAAGGAGAGACCAGGAAAAGACAAAAGTATATGTACAGTGAATTCGACCTTTTTCTATTAAGAGACCATTCGATCTTCTGAATAGATTAGAGCTAACCCCGGTTGATAGAGGGCAAAAATTTACTTGGCGCAGCTAGTCTGTCCCGATTGCCTCGTTCACGTTAGACTCCCCAAGCTCATTCATAATATTTTCCAACTCAATATCGAACCCATATCTCACAGTAGGGGACACCTTTAGTCTGAACGGCATCAAAGCCGAAATTATTAAATAATAATATTTACTCATTACCTCCAGTGAACAACCTGTCCGATATAAAAGCGTACCAAAAGCAGGATTCGGCGTCGTTTATCAAACGCCCGTGTACCCTTAAAGCAGATCATAGTATTACAAGATTTTCAAGGAGCATAAACTAAATTATACTCTAACAGCAGAGGGGTTGTCTAATTAACAGGCTTTACTGCCCGACCTATACTTTCTTTCCTCTTTTGGTTCTCCCTCGCTTATTCGATAGCCTACTTCAACCCAGCAGGAGGGGATGGTTGGTATTCCTCCACACCAAGCTCGCGTAACAGATTCCTACTCTCGCCATTCTGATATCAATAGAAAGTAACAAGAAGAACACGCATCAACAAAGTCGGAATTGATTATCATACGGAGTCGTCGGCCGTCAGTCCGTCTTCGTGCGGACCGCAAACCGTCGCTGGAATATCGACTGTTCCATCTTCCGACACGCCAAATCCCAATCGAAGGTCCACTTCTTATAATAGGGTTGGTAGCCTAGGAGCCCGCCGATCCATCGACCAACCACGACACCCAGCGTCATAGACAACGTCCGCCCGAAGGGCACCCACCATGGGAAAGACATGTAGGAGCCGCCGGCATCGAACATCTATATCAGAACCGAGGAGTTTGATTAGCCCAGCCCCTCTACTTTGCATCGCCATAGGAAGGTGCAGACAAGAGACAGCACATACCGACAAGACCTGGATCAAATCGGGCTCTTTCCCCGCCACCACCGTCTCATCCTGATACCCATACCAGTTTTCAAAGAAAATCGTATCCAATCTAAAGGGCTCCGGTGTTTCCTCGCCCGCCAGCAGAAACTTGATGTCTCCCCCGTAGCCGGCAGGCGGATAACAGCGGTGATTCACCCAAGGCCGGATAAGAAACTCCCCGCTCGTCGGCCTTAGTAAGTATTCCTGGTTGTCGTCCTCCACGCATAGCACCCCCTCTAATACCTCGATGTATTCTTCCTGTATAGGGTGAAAGTGTTTCGGTGGTTTCTGGTCTTTCAAGGCATCGGGCCATTGCGAGGGGTTGAAGGTGACTTCGAAGGCGAAGGCCCGTTGTGGATGGGGGATGATCCGGGTTGTAACGGCGCCGTTAAATCTAGTTGTTGTTAGTTAGTACGAGTCTAATGACTTTGGTTCGAGACCTGCAGAGTCGAGAGATCGACGGGGCATTCCACCCTGGAACAGGGATGTCGATAGGCAGGAATGTAAATCTGTGAGCAAGACACCTACGCAAGAACCACTCTGCCGGGTTCCAGGCCCAACTCCTTGGCCGTGCGGGCAGTCGTCACGGTGGCCATATTATGTTGATCAGTCCATCTGCCAGCGAGATTGTTCGCAAGTCAAACAGGATGGAGAACGGAGGAGCTCAAAAGTTGACGACGGCAGCCACCCAGGCTCGGACCTGCCTAATAAATTCCTCCTTTCCCTCCCGAGTCCCGGACCAACCGCGAGCGAAGGTTCAGCCAGCGAGTATTTATTTCGTTCGCCCCACAATTCTGACCTTTTTCCATGACTTCAACTCCGTCTCCTGCTCCGTCCCCGACTTATTTGGGCCTGTACTCTCGCCGTTGACGAGTAGCGATGCTGGTGTTGGTAGTGTGGTTGCATATTAGCGCTTTCTTCTTGACCCTCTGCGACCCTGGAGGAAAAAGGAAACCGAGGGGCGCTTAACTCCCATTCTCTTTGACTTTCCGTGTCTCCGGCTCCGTCGCGCGGATCCCTTTGGGTGGGATGACCTCAGGCAGTGGCGAGGGTGTTTGGCATGTTTGCATTTGTGGTTCCGTTTGTCCCGCAGGCCCCACTTGCTGCAGTCTTCGTTTCTTCTGCAGCCTTCCATGGGTCGGAGTAGTCATGGCGGGCGGGTGCAGCGTTGCAATCTCGTGGATGCCTTACAGCCTCAGGCACACGTTGCACACTCGCATAGTGTGGGCTTGGCAGGCAATGTAGGAATAGGATGGAAACAGTACCAATACTGGGAATTGCGAGCGCGTAAAAATAAGACATATCCTAATATCATCGGAGCCCCTCGAATGGTTGCCTGGGCGGTTCATATGGAATGAGACCTAGACGAGCGTCTGAAGTGGCCAAACCCACATCCGGTTGCTTGCGTATACACATGCACAGTAGTTCGATCACGGCCTCCTTTCTGCATGCTACAGGCCAGTACTAGCAGCCTAGTACACAGCTGACAGCACGAATGCTCCGTGAACTGGGGGCCGGGGATTCTTCCATCTGGTGGGGCTCATGCAGGGCGGGTCGGACCGGCCTCGTGGATGATCCTGGACTTGTCCAATCAGAATATCTTCGGTGGGCTGCAGTACTGCAGTACCGACGGAGTATATGAGCAATACTCCGTAGTAACTGAGTTGGCTTGACCGACCGATGAACGGAGTAACTAGGGAGCGGCTCCATATGGGCAAGGGAACATGGCACGAGGGGATGGGTAGTGCGGTTCGACATAGTAGATGCAGCCCATCAGGCAGTCGGAACGCATCTTCGCCCCCGAAGCCATCTAGTCAGTCCGGCTCCATTCATGGCGGAGGGAACCATCGTCTTTGTCACGACTGATACAGCAATGCAGCCCTTCGAACCCATTGCTAAGACCATCGCCCAGAGCACCAACTTCCGGAATAGGACGTTGAGGTTTGGGCTGAGGAAACAGATGATCGAAAGATTGAGGGTTGTGGTGCGATGAGTATTTTCGAGCACTCTACGGGCAGAAGCTTCATCACCTACGACTCTGGAATCCAGCGAAAGAAGTTGTATCAAGCTATTGAGATCATGGAGGATGGGCTGTTTGCACTGTTTGCACCTTCATGCACGGGATATTATTGTTCCGACCCGTGTATAACAGCCCTCCGATTGCGGGCTCCGACGAACGGACGTTTCTTCCGCGGACCTATTCCTCCTCAAAACATTCGCTATGGCTGCTGCTCGCACGCTTCGCATAGGTTAATTGGCCTTGTCCCTCTGTGTGTGAGCACTCACTGATCTTCTCGCCTTGTCCTAGGTCTCATTCCTGGTGATGGTATCGGACGGGAGGTGATTCCGGTATGACTCAACTGCACACTGACCTGGAGAATCCACACGGAGAGAATGCAATTCCCCCATGCTAACTGTGAGATAATTGATTATAGGCCGGTAGAAGGATCCTGGAATCTCTTCCTTCTTCCCTCAACCTGAAATTCAGCTTCGTTGACCTGCATGCGGGTTATGACACCTTCAAGACCACCGGAACTGCGCTGCCTGACAAGACCGTGGATACTCTGAAAAAGGAGTGCGATGGAGCTCTGTTCGGTGCTGTCAGGTGCGTTCATTCCCCTCCCGTTTATCTTCTAGTTTAGACATGAATCAACTAACCTGCGTTGTTTTTACCCATGGATAGCTCCCCGAGCACCAAGGTCGCCGGCTACTCGTCTCCGATTGTCGCTCTTCGCAAGAAACTAGACCTATATGCCAACGTCCGACCGGTCAAGTCGACCACCGGTGGCAGCCACGGTAACCCTATCGACCTGGTTATCGTGCGTGAGAATACCGAGGACCTGTATGTGAAGGAGGAGCAGAGCAGGGATACCCCTAATGGCAAGGTAGCCGAGGCGATTAAGCGGATCTCCGAGAGTGCGTCATCGCGCATTTCTACTATTGCCGGTGAGATCGCCCTGCGCCGTCAGAAGATCCGGGACGTGGCGTCCGCGCCCGCCCTTCGTACCAACCCTATGGTGACCATCACCCACAAGTCCAACGTGCTATCCCAGACCGATGGCCTGTTCCGTGAGACGGCCCGTAAGGCTCTGGCCGCCCAGCGCTTCTCCTCCGTTGAAGTGGAAGAGCAGATCGTCGACTCCATGGTTTACAAGCTCTTCCGCCAGCCCGAGTACTACGACGTGATTGTTGCTCCCAACCTCTACGGTGATATCCTGTCTGACGGCGCCGCCGCTCTGGTCGGCAGTCTGGGTCTGGTCCCCAGCGCCAACGTCGGTGACGGCTTCGCTATCGGAGAGCCCTGCCATGGCAGTGCCCCTGACATCGAGGGCAAGGGTATTGCCAACCCGATCGCCACGTTGCGCAGTGTGGCGCTGATGCTGGAATTCTTGGGTGAGGAGAGCGCTGCGGCCAAGATCTACACGGCAGTCGATGGCAACCTGGACGAGGGCAAGTACCTCTCTCCTGACATGGGCGGTCAGGCCAGCACTCAGGAGGTGCTGAATGACGTGCTGAAAAGACTGTAAGGAGGCGGGAGTCTAGTATAAAGAGTAGATAAAATATGTATCAATTATCAATTCATACCAAGTCCTTACCTATGATTATGATCTGAATACCCAGAAAGACCTCTTCTGCCTCGACAGCCATCATAATAATCATCTCAACTAGCTAAATCACATGTCTATATTATCGATATTCTTCCCAGCTTCCATGCGTCAGCATATTGGGCAGTTTGACAGGTTACCCCGGGCTAAGAAAGATAATCGACCAAGGGGATGGTAGCTTCCGGTATACAATAATTCTGTGTTCGCGAGTTGAGATAGCCATGGGTTTACAACCTGTAAATTTGTCGCGTGTGCAACCATGCAACGGAATTCTCCGTTGCACATTAGAGATGGAAATGTAGATAAATTGGTTCATGTTGACTCCTGGATCTTATTCTGAATGGCCATGATCATGCAATCCCTCCTTCTCGCCGGGTGTCAAAGTTTGCTATCACAATGCCCAGTCCATCTCAACCTAGTCAAAGCCGACGTCCTCCCGATATAGACAGCAAGGAAGAACTTTCAAAGTCCCCTGTTGCCAGATCTCCCATTCCTAGGCAATGGGTGCTTGTCCCCCGTACCCTCTCACAGTCCGAATCCCCACAGATCAGAGACTGCAGGATGCTGACATCCTACAATTGGGTGGCGGACGTTACTCCTATGATTATGATTCCAGGTACACTTCATGCCTATCTCCCCCTCTATATTCCGTGGCTAAACTCGCAAACATAAGTTAAGGCCGTCCACGATCCTGGTATCCCCTGACCACGTCGCAGCCGCTTAGCCACAATCTAAAGGCCTACATCCACGACGCCGACATGGCATATTACCCTTCCTACCCCCTACAGCCGGCCATCGAAGCAATTCTGCACACCTATCCGTCCTACAACACCCGCTCTGTCGACCTTGTCGCCTGCTCGCTGACCTTCGAGCACCTCTTGCGCTTATTCTTCAAGCCCAACGCCCAGCCCTTTCGGGTCCTAGTCCAGGCGTTTGGGAAGACGGTATTCTTCCTTCCTCGCAAGCCTTCCCTCGATGAGATGGACCCTGAACCCAAGAGGTGCCCAAGTCCGTTTCTCGATTGGTATACGGGCTGGGAAAGGGACGTTAGAGGGTCGAGGTCGCATCATCGCGTTCTGGAGTATGACTTTGGGGGGTTGAAGTGCGTGATGCGGTCCCAGACGGATGGGTATTTTACGGATTTGGCGCCGCGGAGCGAGGAGGTGCATAGTGGTCATGCATGCAATAATGGGAATCCCAGCAGAAAGTGCAAGGGGAGTGGGAGTGAATCGCCTGTTGGCGGCGAGTTCACGACCCTGAGTAGCTACGACGCGGATGGGAACGAGCGACTGCTGATTGTTGAAGGGGGCGAGGCGATCCCGCAAGAAGCTGTCTTCGATATGGAGGCGCGTACAATATTTCGTTGGCAAGAAGACCAGGAGGTGACGGATCACCAGAAAATGGCGCGGTTTTGGGCACGCCAGATGCATAACGCGCTGGTTGGGTACCATCAGGGCGGTCTCTTCAGGCAGGTTGACATTAAGGATATGCAGGACGACATTCGCGACTGGCAGCAAAGCGAGCTGGATCGGATCGGTCGATTTGCGGCAATGCTGAAGAAGATCGTGGCTTTTGCGAGGGAAAAGGAAGGACGGATATTCGAGGTCTTTCATCGCTCGGGCTGGGGACTGGAGGTGAAGGGCATCGCTGACGTTAATCCCCTGTTGCCAGAGAAGTTGGCGATGCGGTGGACAAGGGGTCCGAACGTGCTGCCTCTGTCTGATGAAGAAGATGTGATCGATTTTAGTGATAGTGATGAGAATCCGTGTAAGACGTGAGCTGGCGCGGTCTTCTTTTTTTTTTAATTTTTTGGTTCTCCCTCTATGCCTGGCCAGGTTTGCTGATCAATTGTATTTTCTTTTTAGTTCGTTCAGCGAACCCGAAGAATGTGTGCCTGATGACAGGATTGCTACTCTGCTATCCGCCTACGTCAAAAAGGCTTTTGCTACTTTCTAACAATACCGCCATCCCTTCGTAGCTCAGTATTGAAGCGCCGACATGAGAAGGAATGAAACTTGGAGAAGTAACCAAAAATGTTCAAATTGTAAATACGGAGTACGCAGTAAAATATATCCAAACGTCGTGGCTTCTGTCATGATCGGGCACCCGAAATCAATCGTAAAGATTAAGAAAAAAGAGCATCAGGTCTGAGAGCAACCTGTAAAAACGTCACGCACTACAGTCGTCCTCGTAGAACCAACAGATTACCAGCCAAACGGTTCTCCGTGCGTACCAGAGCCTGCCCGACCGCTCCTAGGGCTCGACTCGCGTCCACCCCGACTTCTTCCTGAGTGGAGCTGAATCCCGAATCAGAGTCGACTCGATTGTTGCGCCGTCCGACCACCGTCATGTTGCCAGCCCTGCGTGGTGACTGGCTCATCTCTTCTTTAACAGTTGTCACTGCTAGTTGTACCGCGTCAGCTTGCTCCTTGGCCGGCGAGATGCGCTTGAAGACCACCCGGGACATCAAGTCCTCGGACAGAGAGTCACGCATGGCTACAAAGAAACTGGAGTCGTATTCTACTTCCTGGACTCTCGCCGTGGCATGTGTTGCGGATTTCCCCCTCCCCGTTTCGCTCGGACTGTCGCTGTCGCCAGGCCCAGACCGTGGGAACGCGGCTACGTCGATTTGAATTATAGTCGCGGTCACCTGGTCATTCTGGGCCAGCTGAAGAACGAAACGCAGAGCAAAGCGGTCGTCATCGCCACCGAAGAAGGGCAGCACAATGTGGTGAGAACGTGCCGCGGCAGGGGCCCTACTCAATAACGAGCCACGAGCGCTGAGGGCGCTGAGAGACTGCTTGGGCACAAGGGGCCGGCGCGGCGCAGGCGCGTAAGAACTGCGTTCGACGAGAACCCCAACGCTACAGGAGGTTTGATCCAGCACGTTGGAGACAAAATCCGTGTATGGGCCGTTGGCGAATCGGCTAGCCTCGTCGATGCCTAGCCCACTTTGATGTTCGCTGACAGTCCCAGTTTCACTCCATGGAAGTAAAAGAAGATCACTGGACTCCTGGCGAGCCATACCCACGATGGTGTCGGCGAAAGAATACTCAGGAACAACGGACACCCCGGCCATAATTGAAAGATCGTGCCATTGGCCGAATGCTCGAAACGTGTTGACTACCGGATCCGACAGGCTATACTCGTCGATCTCCGACACCTTCATGACACTGGAGTCTCGATCGGTGAGTTCCATCAAGCGTACTCCATGCACCTGCAGGACATGCGACTCCTCAATTTCCGTTGCCGCAGACTCCTCTGCCGCGGCTTCCGGGGAGGCGGTCATGGTTCGCCTTTTGTCCGGATGGATCTGGGGCGCTAAAGGCTGAGAAACGGTGCTAGGTCCAAGAATCGCAGCCAAAGTGCAAATACTAGATAAACCGTCTAGTCGTAGATACACAAGAAGCTTCCGAACGGCGTTCGACCGAAGCTCGTCTTTAGCAATCGCCACACTGTCGACGCGACTATCAGACTGGATAGGGTTGCCCTCCCAATCAATCTCTCCGCGGCGCCAGCGAACTACTTTATCTTGGTACCACTTCGGGTACAGCAAAGTAGTCACCGGAGTAGTCACAAAGGTTGTAACCAATGCCATGACCACGAACATGGTAAACGTGCGGGTGCTGAGAATGTTTGCTTGCAACCCGATATTCTGCGCTCTTATTAGCATCAGGTGACGCGCTCCAAGCCAGGCAACATACCAAGACAATCAGCTCTACCAAGCCCTTACAACTCATCAAGACGCCGATGGAAAAGCTCTCACGCCACAAGAGTCCACACATCCTAGATGCACCTGCGCCACCGATAACCTTCGCAATTAAGGCAATCGCAATGATCCCGATAACATAGGCCCACGTCACACCGGTATCAAGTAAGCCCAGATTGGTCTGCAAGCCGGACAGGGTGAAGTATAGCGGCAGAAAAAGAGCGGCCACCAGGTCTTCTATTTTCTCGGTCAACTTGATGGCAAACCCGCCTTCGTGAGGGCAAAGTAAACCAATCAAGAATCCGCCAAAAATGGCATGAACTCCAATAACCTGCGTAAAAAACGATGAGGCGAGAGCAATGAGAAGCGTAATAGCGACGACGGACTGACTGGGACCCTTCTGCAAAGCGCCGGTGTGATTGAGGAATCGCAAGAACAGAGGCCGGAACACGAACGACAGAAACAGTACATATCCAATGCAAACCAGAAGTACCCAGAGGGCGTTTAACCCGGTACCGGCATTGACTAGTGCAACACAAAGGGCCAGGAGAATCCAGCCGACAACATCGTTACCGACACCGGCTGATAGGACGATTACCCCGACGTTGGTCCCGAGTAACTTCAACTCCGTGAGGATACGGCACAGCACGGGGAAGGCCTATTCGTGATTAGGTACGCAGCGACATGTGCACTTGAATTGGACATACCGTGATCGCCATTGCAATACCGATGAACAGCAGGTAGGTACCGAAGTTGATCGGAACCGTACCGGGTTCGTCGCGAAAGGTGTTGTATAGGCCATATGAAATGGCGGAGCCCAGTCCAAAGGGTAGGATCATCCCCGCGGCGGACACACTGGCCGCCACGCGCCAATTACTGACCAAAAATCGCAAATCTGTCTCCAAACCTACCAAGAAGAGGAAGAGGATCAGGCCCAGATTGGCGACCAGGTTCAAATTTGGAATAGACTGCGACGGGAAGATGGCCTCCGTGAAGCCTGGAATGCGGCCAAACACGGACGGACCCAGCAAAACACCGGCAATGACTTCCGCGATGACTCGGGGCTGACGGATTTTGGAGAGAGGCCAGTGCAGAAGGCGACAGAAGATAATAATGATAGAGGCCTATTAGCCATTAGAATCACGACTCCTCCATGGTGCGTCATCGTCCTGCCTGGATGATAAAAACCACAATGGGGTTCTTGGGATCATAGTGAGATGGATTCCCGCCCTCGAGAATGCCGCCTTGTGGAGTGGCGCGGCTGTCAGTGGAGTTGGAGGCCATGACGGAGCGATGGCACGCAGCCGGGGTGGGCTCCTATAGGCCCAGGGAGGGGCAGGATATGATCAAGTGGATGGAGCGAGTCTCAGGATTGGAAAGTTGCAGGAATGAGAGGGAATAGGAGAGAAGAGGAGAGAAGATAAGAGAGAGGAGAGAGAGAGAGAGCGAGAGAGAGACCGGAGAGAAAAAGCAGGCCAAATGAGACAAAGAAGGAAGTAGATTGCCTGAAACGGATGGCAGACTTGGAGCCCCGCAGGCCCACGTGGCCGGGGAAATGATGACTCAGCGGAGAGTCACGGGCCTCCGCAGACGACGGCACCAGCCCCGATCGGGTTGCTTGCTGGCGGCATCCCAATCCCCTCTTTCCCCTCTTCTTTCTTTCTCCTCTCCTCTCTCTCTCTCTTACACCCTCACACCATGTCCAACCCCTACAATCGCCGCTCGATACCCGACTACTTCATCTCCTCTCCTCTCACGGCCATCCTCTATCCTTTCCACCAATGTTTGCTACGACTCCGCGGGCCTCCTCGACTACCTCCCTCCGACGCCCATTCAATCCGCGTCGTTTGCATCTCCGATACCCACAGCCTCGAATGGACCGATATCCCCGATGGTGACCTTCTTATCCATGCCGGCGACCTCACAAATGACGGCAGCGTCCGCAAGATTCAAGCCGCCGTCGACTGGCTACGCGCCCTGCCTCACCCTCACAAGGTCGTCGTCTGTGGCAACCACGATAGCTACTTTGACGTGCGCTCCCGTCTTCCCGAGGACCGCGATGCCTCCTCCTTCTCAGCCGTCTCCTCATCTACCGCTTCTCTCCGATCTCTCGATGAATTCGACTCCCCGACTCGCATCGAATGGGGTGACATTCATTACCTCCAACACTCCTCCGTCACCCTCTCCTTCCCTCCTCCTCCGGCTTCGACCACCTCTGCCCCGTCGTCTCTCATCACAACAGCAACCACAACGCCCTCTCGGACCCGCTCTCTAACCCTTTACGGCGCCCCTCAAGTCCCCGCCCTGATGTCCCTCGGCCCCGAGCACGCCTTCACCTACCCCCCGCACTATGACGCCTGGTCCGGTACCATCCCGCTAGCAACAGACATCCTAATCACCCACACCCCGCCGCAATCTCACCTCGACATGTCCCCCGTCTACTCTACCGGCTGTCCGTACCTCCTCGCCGAGGCCTGGCGCGTACGCCCCGCACTGCATGTCTTCGGGCATATCCACCACTCATACGGCCGGGAGCCCGTGTTCTGGGACGAAGGCCAGCGCGCCTGGGAGCGGTTGTGTCTTGCGCGGCGGCGTCGGGCGCGCTATTCGCGCTTCAGCTCGCTTTTCGGCTTCCTGAGGGACCTGTTCGATGTATCTGCGTGGGTTGATGCGGCACGTGTGCTCGGCTATGGTGTCTTGGGTATCGTATGGGCGAAGGTCTGGGGTGGTGAGGAGATGGGGTGCGGGTGGTTGGTTAATGCAGCCTGCATGTATGGTGATTCGGGGAGGCTGGGGAATAGGCCGCAGGTGGTGGAGCTGTGAAGTTCCACCATCCGACTCGAAGTAGCTCGATCTAGAGAGGGGAGTTGTGGCTGTATATACGGAGTACAAAGAAGGAGAAACAGAGGGAAGTCTTTTACAGCCCGCGCGCAGTACTCCGTACAACTATCAAACCACTGATCCTCGCTTATATGGACTTACACTTACCTATTATAGCTTAGCCTGCCTGTCATATGTCCCACAGTGGATCAGTTGTCGATTGGTGTGGTCCACCTTTCGCGAAAGGCCATGTACTCCGTACAGTCGCTCTGCCCAGAGCGCCCCTATGGATACTGTCGCCAAGAAGGACATACTATTCAAGCCTGCCCAACGTGCCCAGTCTGTTCATATTATGGACAGAAAGGGCATGGCATCAAATTTCCAGGAGCTAAATGGAACAAATTATTACTGGAACTATCATTAATGCCACAAGGGCCCAGATTAGGAAGATCAAAAAATTTTTAGGGGCCTTTCCCAAGCCAGTTGCATCCTACCATAACCGAGGAAATAAGCCTTAGTACATCAGCTGTAGTAAGTTTTAGTATCGAAAGTAAGTTGATTTCTTAGGAGATATAAATATCCGGGAAGTTTATGTGAAGCTTGTATAAAGCGGGTCTATATCCACGCACCAAGACCGCTGTCTATGCTATGGGCCAATGCTGGAAGGCAGTGCGATTGTGGCAGGGTTCGAGAGTACTCAGAACGTTACATTCGACCAGCGACCACTCTTGGGTCTACAAATAATTACTCTCTACGGCGTGTATGCTTATTGGCTGCAGGTTACGTGACCAAGGCGAGAAGAAAATCGGTGAGAGTCGGGAGGAGAGAAAGATTGGATATCTCTTAGTTCTAGTCTTAGGCCAATGTATATAATAAATCAAACTCAATTTGCTTTCTTTCGTTGCTTCTTCTAGACTCGTCATGAATATATGTCTGACTTGGTCTTCATTATAATACAGCTGCGTTTGCCAACGTATGGAAGATATATGAAGGTCGATAAATCGATAAATGGGTATATACAATCCGAAGGGGACGGATGGAACATGGGGCATGGTAAGTACCTATTGTACCAGTAGTCGTGGGATAAGGTGGTCAGGTACGTAAGTCGTGTGGGCAAATGGGCAAGAACCCGAGGTGACAAGGTAACCAAGCCTAAAGCTTGGCCTTTTCGCTGAAACGAGGCGCCTGGAGAGGGTCGTAGGCCCGCAATGTTAACGTATCCGACGGCACGGCCGCACTGTGACCGGCGACGAGACCGCGCACGTCCAGCATACTGGGGTTAAGATCGGCGATAGTGCGGGCTCCAATCAGCCGCATGTTCATTTCCATCTCATCCTTGAGGAGCTGGATGGCGCGGTCCACGCCATCCTGGCCGTACGTCGACATGGCGTACAGGAAGGGGCGACCGATGCCGACGCCCTTGGCGCCGAGGCAGAGTGCCTTCAGGATATCAGTGGCACGACGGACGCCGCCGTCAATGAAGATCTCGATCTTGTCCTCCCAGCCGCGCTCACGCAGGACGGGCATGACTTCGGCGAGGACCTCAATGGCGGAGCGCGCGAAGTCGAGTTGGCGACCGCCGTGGTTGGAGAGAACGACACCGTGCACGCCCATCTCGACGGCACGAAGAACGTCCTCAACGCACTGCACGCCCTTCAGCACGATTGGCATCTTAGTAATGGACTGGAACCAGGGGATGTCCTTCCAAGAGAGGGAGGGGTCGATGAACGAGGAGATGGCGCGCGCGGCGCCCTGGGACCGGTCGACCGAGTCACCGCCCGAGGCCTGCACACTGGATCCGACGTCCGAGAATTTCGACCGCATGTCCTTTTCGCGACGGCCCAGCTGGGGCGCATCGACGGTAATAAAGAGTCCCTTGCAGCCGCGCGCCTCGGCGTGCTCAACGATACCCTTGGTGATGCTGCGGTCCTTGTTGACATACAGCTGCAACCATTGCACTTGATCACCTTGCTTGGCGTCCACGATCTCGTCGAACGAGCAGGATGCGAGAGTAGGGATCATCTGAATGACCTCGTGGTTGTGAGCGGCTCGCGTCAATACCACCTCACCCTCCGGGTTGCCGAGTTTGCCCAAGGCAGTCGCAGTGACGTAGAAGGGGATAGAGGATTTGGAGCCAAGCATTGTGGTCGAGAAGTCGACGTTCTCAACGTCAACTAGGATTCGAGGTCGGAACCAAATCTTGTGAAAAGCGGAATGGTTTTCGCGCATAGTCTGGGGAAGAGGTCCACGTTAGCATATCCCAATGGCTGGAAGGTCTTTTTGACAAATAACCAACTGTCACGTACAATCTCATCATCTGCGCCACTGGAGTAGTAGGCCCACGCCGTCTTCTTCATCACGCTGCGTGCGACCGACTCGAAATCCATCAGGTTGTAGCATGCTGCTAGCGGAGGCATGAGTTTGACCCGGTCTTGACGTTCTACCTCCTCCGGATCCGCCGCCTTCTCCTCCTGTTCGACGGTGTTCATGTCGACTTCACCCAGGTGTTTTGAGTGATCGAGATACTTGTCCAGGGTGTCCGGGGGGTGGATTGGGTCGAATTCTTCGGTCGCATCTTTGCCGGCATACTTGAGGATGATTTTTTGGCCACCGGGGTGCTCTATAACAGCTGTCAGTGACCATTGCCGGGGAGAATGGAAGCTTCCGCCGATTCAAGACATACCGGGGAGGAAATCGGTCACGTCGTAGGCCTTCCCATGAACAATCACCCAGCACGAGTCACGGGAGTTGTGCTGGGCAATATCAGCACCGGTGAGCTTGCCTTTACTCATGGCTGCGGTCAAGAGGTAAAGGAGGATAGATGACAGAGAAAAAAGTTGGCAGGAAAGACTGACGGGTGGGAGATTGCAACGAGCTCGGGAAGTTATTTAAAGGAAGACCGGGAGAAAGGAAAAAAAGGCAGAGAGCAGAGCGCAGAGAGACCTCGGGGTAATAGACAGCGAGCGAATTGGGGCCGGCCGAGCAGAAATCGGGCGACAGTCGTTGGCTGCGGATTGCGGGGGAGTCGGGTCATCCTGGCCCTCTCGGCCGACTGGACGATATGGATTGAGGATTCATCTGCATCATGATTCATGAATTCATTATTCCCCAGAGGTGGAACCCGGACGGAGGATCCGTCGATCCGGTCAGCTGACCAGGTCACGTGCACCGGTCCCCTGACGGTCCCCGGGACGCGTTCATCTTGTCGCCGGGATCCATCATCCATCATCCATCATCCATCATCCATCAGCCAAAGGAGCGACCGTCGATTCTGGTGATTATGGCGCACCCAAACTATAGTACCAAACCACGTCAATCCCGACCGTTGAACGCGCGCCACCGCATCCACAATGGCGACACAACAGCCGCCAAGACATGGACCACGTAGCCCCGACGAACCATTTGTCCAGACGGGACGTTTATTCTACGACTCGGTACACCGTAGCCTTGGTCGCTGGCCATATAACTGAGGGCGTTGGTTCTCCCCTTGCCAAATGGTTCCTCACAAGGGGAGAAACCGCGAAGGAATTGCGGCGATGAGGTGGCTGGGTTGAGGGTGATAACTATACCAACGACGTGCCTATTCAGACCGCTTTTTTATCTTCAGACATCTATTCATAGTCTAATCGACTAACAATCTAGCCTATTCTGATTAAATCAACGCATACCGGCGGAGCAGTTCGCTGGTTAGAGTGGAACTAGCTCTACGGATTAATCAAGAAAAAAAAGAAGACGGCGCGTCGCTCGCCCGTGAGCCACTGAGTCCCCATTAGCCTGCATCCATATTCAAATCTACAAGCACTCTCGCTGCGACAGATTAGAGCAAGTTAGCTCGTCGCGGACAGACCACCTGGAGCAGACCCAACTTTACTACCTATCTTAGCCCCTCCGTCAATCTCGACATGATGCCATTCATACCCTTTCTCCTCGTACTAGCTGGCCTGACGATCTTCTTCTCGCGACGAAAATATAAAACCATCGAGCAGAGCTACGAGGACTCCCCTTGCGTTGTGGTGAAGGGGCACACATATTCTGACAGTGTTGAGGAGATCCAGTTACAGGCGCTACCTGTGACCAGACCGAGTAAGGTTGAGAATGTACGATGTGCGTGCATCATTGGGGCGGGATATGTAGGTGAGTCTTTGCTTCTCCTCTTCTTGGTGACTTTCTTCATGTTGGTCAACGAACGCATAGGTGGATGGGCTGATTCATCAAGCACAGGCACGTTGACGGGTCTCGTACTGGCGTCGCAGAACCCACATGTCCAGTTCTACATCGTCGACAGCGACGAACGGCTCATTTCCGCGTGGAATTCAGATAGAGTTCCCATCTCCGAGCCAGGTGTAGAAGAGCTTCTATTCGAAGATGCAGAAATCGCATCGCCGCAGGCACAGACTTCGATGGAGCCGGAATCAGAGTTCGGCGAGTTCGTATCGCAGCTTCCTAGGGTTAGGAAGTTACATAATGTGACTTTCTCGACGAATATGCATGCGGGCATTACGCCGGCTGATTTGGTTTTTCTGTGTCTCGAAACGAGGGTTGGAACTGATGTACGCTTGCTTCCCTTACTTTCTCACGAGCCCCCCCCCCCTCGGAATAGTACAGATACTGATCGAAACTAGATCGAGGAAACGACAGTAGACCTCACACATCTGGAATCCGCTCTCCTTGCCATCGCGCAAGTCTCCACCGGCCATAAAATCATCGTGCAAAAGACCACCGCACCATGCGGCATCGTCCCACGAATCAAGAAAGTGGTACGTCGCAGTAGTAACTTCCATCACTTCTCATTGTTTAACGGAACCCCCCAGCTGAAAGAAACCGCCTCACCCTCTGCCACCTTTGATGTCCTCTCCAATCCCGACTTCATAGTCCCCGGCTCCGCGCTCCGCGACCTCCTATACCCGCCGCGAATCGTAATCGGACACATCTACTCGTCAGACATGTCACCGGAGGCCATTACGGCCCTGAAACGACTCTACACGCCTTTCATCCCGGAGGATCGGATCCTAACCATGGACGCATGGTCTTCGGAACTAGCCAAAATTGCAGCGAACGCGTTCCTAGCACAACAGATTAGCAGTCTCAATTCACTGAGCGTGCTGTGCGAGTCGACAAATGCGGATATGGACCACGTCACGAGGGTGCTGGGGCTGAGTCAGCGAGCAGGATTCGGGCTAGGAGTGTTGCAGACGGATGTGATGTGTCTGGTGTATCTGGCGAGGGAGCTGGGGGTTCCCGAGGTGGCGGAGTACTGGGCATCCGTGGTGCGGATGAATGGATTTCAGAGGGAATGGGTGGCTCGGAGGCTCACGAGAAGAATTGGGGAAGGAGAAGAGAGATGCGTTGCGGTTTTGGGAGTCGGATCGAAGGGGAACTTGGAAGATTTGACTGCAGGAATGGGACTGGTGCGAGCATTGACTGCGACACGGGTGAGAGTCCATGTTTTTGATCCGCATCTTGACGGAAGACAGATAGAAGGTGGACTAGCTAGTGCTGGAGTGAGGAGAGAGTTGGTTACAGTAGCGGACTCGGTGGAGACGGCATGTTTGGGATGTCATGCTGTAGTGGTCCATACGGATTGGAGCGAGTTCAGCCATGAGAGCGTGCGCTGGCAGGGTATTGCACATCAGATGCAGCAGCCGAAAGTCCTCCTGGACCTGCGAGAAGCGTTCGACCGGTTCCAGATGCAGCAGTGGGGTTTTAACATGCTCCAGCTCGGAGCCAGGGAGTTGCATTAGCAGGAGAAATTATATAGAGCTATCTGTGTACTTGTACCCACTGAAATTTCCATCCTCCCACCGCGCCATCATTTCTGGATGATCCATTATAGCTCTGCTGACTGATCTTCTCTAGACGAGCAGTAAGGACGCTCATTCAAAGGGTCCCTCCCATATACTGCAGGGGAAAGTGGGCTGTCCGAGTGGATCCTCTTCTTGGGTTACATTTGAACTGGGATGACTTCCTTCCTATCTTTGTTTGTTTGTTGGTTACCGCCGGTGGGGGGAAAGAGTCCCCCTATGAGGCTGGCTACACCATCATACAGAGGACACCATACCTAGTTATCTGGGTTGTCTGAGTCAGTTGGGGGCGAGGAGAGCAGCGAAATACCTCCGTCACCCCCACCTCACGGCCGGCAAAAGTACTCACTCACTACTTCCATCTTCCCTCTTCCACGTCCACCATGTCTGACTCCTACGATTACATCCTCATTGGAGGAGGCCTGACCGGCTGTGCTTTGGCCGGTCGACTATCAGAGAAGCACGAGTCGCTCCGCATCCTGATCATCGAGGCTGGCCCCCGATCATCCTCTCACCAGCACCCCGTTGGCGTGCTTCGCCGCTCCCCTTTCCCCGTTGGATTGGGACTACTCCACTGTGCCGCAAAAGCATCTCAACAAACGTGATAGCTACAATAGTGCCGGCAGGGCCCTGGGGGGAGGTACCTCCGTCAACTACGGCACCTGGACCCGGGACAATTCCGCGGACTACAACCTCTGGGCCAAGCTCGTTGGAGACTCGAGCTGGAGCTACGACGGCCTTCTCCCTTACTTCAAGCAGACCGAGACGCACTACACTACGATGCCGATGTCGATCCGGCCATCCACGGCACTAGCGGTCCGATTCATAATATGATTGTCGCCCGTACCAGCCCGGACCGCAAGTATCCGCTGAAGGAGCCGATCCGTTCTGCATGGAAACGCATTGGTGTCAAGTATATTACAGACGCCAACGATGGGAGCCCCCTGGGGCTCGCCGACTTCGGAGAGAATTGGCGGGATGGACAGCGTCAACTTGCCAGTAACGCATACGGTCTGTCGGGGCGTCGGAGCGTCTCTATTATAACCGACACGCTGGTGGCGAAGGTGATCCTCCAAGAGCAAGATGGCCAGCAGGTCGTGACCGGGGTGAAAGTGGCAACTGGAGAGGAATACCATGCCTCCAAAGAAGTGATCATTTCCGCTGGAGCATACCGGACCCCCCAGGTGCTCATGCTCTCTGGGATCGGACCGGCGGAAGAGCTGGCGGCACACAACATCCCACAGTTGTTTAATGCGCCAGAGGTCGGTCGCAAATTCCATGATCACTTCTGCTACCCCCAATGGTGGAAACTGCGTCATCCCGAACAGGGCCTCTCGATGGGAACTCCGCTTTGGCAGAGCCCAGCATATGGCATGGGAGTACCCTACGATTGGAATGTGACCTTGCAAACCCCGTCGGACAAGTTGACACCGGCATTGCAGGCCGATGATGGACAAGATCCCCAGGACCATCCGTACTTGGATCCAACATTCGCTCACTCCGAGGTTCTGGTCATCTATGCGCCGATGAGTCAAGCCGTAGCCGGGTTTGAGACACCTATGGATGGCACGCACATCAGCACTGCTGTTCTCTTGATGGCCCCTGCAACACGCGGTCAAATCACCCTCTCGGATGCTGACCCGGCGAGCCCTCCTGTAATTGACCCGAATTACTACTCGAAAGAAGTGGATCGAGCGATTGTGAGGGACGGAATTCGAACGGTGGCCAAGCTTCTTCTCGATACTCCCGAAGGTAAGGAGATAGTAGATCATGAAGTCCCCCGACCAGAGAATCAACTTATGAGACCCGATTCTACCGACGAGGAGATTGACGAGAACGTCCGGCGTGGAGGAATCACGTTCTTTCATCCAAGAGGATCGGCAGCTATGGGACAAGTGGTCGACACTCAACTGCGGGTCAAGGGCGTCAAAGGCCTGCGAGTCGCGGATGCCAGCGTACTCCCCGTTCCCATCACCGGGCATTACCAGGCCGTCCTGTATGCGCTGGCTGAGAAAGCGGCGGACCTGATTTCAGGCTAGAATGTGTTGTAATCAACTATTCCCCAGAGGCAGAATCATATTACGTATAAGAACACGGTTAAATATCGTGATGATTTTTGTAATATCTCCTCAACCCTGCAAGCATAAGCAAGCACTTCAATGGCTTGGTCCATGGGAAATGAACTCGCCGGTTTGGTTTCGGCCTGCCCCTTCCTTCTGGTCTCATGTACTTCGAGTGCTGCACATCTTAATGACCTGGGCGAAACCCACTAGGGGAAGGATCTGGTGGGGGCAGTCCCTCAAACGGACCGATAAACCAGGAATGAACGGAGATGATGGCCTTTTTCATTTCCAGCTCGTGCACGCTAAGGGGGCCGACTTTCTCTTTCTCCCTGCACGAAGGTACTAACTAACTACTAGTACTACTTATACTTTACAAATGAATGGAGTCTATCAATCTCTTCGGTGCTGATCCTCTCTTCCCCAGACTTCGTCCGCATTAGCCTTTCCTCTGGTCTCCGGTACCCATCCGTAGATGAATCCTCCAAGGATCAGGGCCATCGCGGCAAAGATCCCATAGATCTTACCGCGACCTCCTAACGCATCGTTCAGCATCGGGAAAAATAGGGCCACAATAAACGTTGCGATCCAGTTAGCTGCTAGGGCCCAGCTTTGCGCAGCTCCAACCGCTTCTGGCCCAACCAGCTCGGAAGCCAGGATAAATGGGACCGGACCCAGACCAACAGCGAAGCTAGAAACAAACAGCAGAACAGCAATCACCGATACGGTTTTCAGGTGGAAATAGATCCCCAAGGCGAGCAGTATAGAATTACATCCCATTCCACTGATACTCAGCAGAAGGCAGGATCGCCGACCGATCTTATCGGGCAGCGGCGAACAGGCAAGGGTGATGATCAGGTTGATCGCCGAAACGATTACTGTCAGCAGGGCTGCGGTGGTGGGAAGAATGGTTTGCAATAACGACACGCTGTACATGATGATACTGTTGACGCCTGTAAGCTGCTGGGTTACCATGACCCCGACGACGGCAACAATGGCAGGACGGTATCGAGGGTTCGTCACGGCATTCAGGATGGTGACCGGGGGCTGCTTTGGAGGGATGTTGGCAGACGGGGGCATTAGCAGTGATTGCTCCTCTCCAGATCCAGAGTCACCCCCCGAATTTCGCCATCCTTCAATCTCTTCAACAATGTCCGCATCCTTGCCGCGTATTCTCTGCAGAACCTGTCTGGCTCTATCCGCCCTTTGGTGCTCTGCCAGCCAGATGGGACTCTCCGGCACCAAGAACAGTCCAAGAAGCTGACAACACCCGATGAAGCCTGCGACCGCCAGGATAACCCTCCATTTGCCTCCCTCACTGAGGAAATAACCAAGGGACTGGGTCGAGAGGATGCCAACATTGGTCATGATTTGGGTAAATGCACCGAAGAATCCTTTTGCGTTTGGGGGAGCAATCTCCGACACGTAGATCGGTCCAACCACTATGGCGGCACCCGATCCCACGCCAGATAGCAATCTTCCCAATGCCAAGACGGATATCGTCGGGGCAAGCGTCTCCGCGATAGGGCCGAGTATGAAGAAAATAGTCGTCGCTCGTAGCGCCACTAGGCGACCATGCTTTGTTGAGACGGGCCCTGCCAGCAAGGCTCCTAGAAGCCCCCCTAGAGTGTAGATAGAGGATACAAGACCGAATTGGGACGGGTTCATCGGGATACATTGTGGTAGACCATGCGATATGGGCTTCGCGGAGGAATGGATGCTCTTTCGCTCGCAGGTAACCACAGCTTGGGGGGCATTAAGCTCGGCCTGTTATGAAAGAAGTACAGTACACTCGTCAGCAGGGGTCGGACCACACAGGATCGTGACGCTCGGGTAGAGATACCAAGTGATATCCGAACTGCAGCGGACCTAAGGTGGCGATCAACACCAGGTAGATCAGGAACGGGGTCACCGCAGAACGGATTGAATTGTTGGAAGCCATACTGTGGCGGATAGATGGAATCAGGAGATGACCATATGACGTTGGCCGCGGAGCGCCAGGGGAGGGGACCCGTGCCTCAGGTGCCCCAGGCACCCAGGCATCAAGGCACTACCAGCAGGCACCAATCGCAGGCACCAATCGCAGGCACCAATCACGGGACGCAGGCTGATCAGCCGCCTGGGATAAGCCTCCTTATGTCCTCGTTCCTCATGAGTGCAAGGGGCCTCCCTACACTGTCGTGCTCTTACCCCGCCTAGGTATGTGCCTAGTCGGCCGTGCTTTAAACATGGACATAATCCTCCGCGGGCGTCTTCGCATCCCGCCACCTGTCCACACCCATCTATATATCTCTCACCCTCTTATCTACCATACCTACCCACACACCTACTGCCTCAGCTAGATTTTACTGCTGTCCCTCGCCATGTCGCTCTCTCTCCGCTTAACTGAAGATTCCACCGGCACGCAGGACCGTCTCTTTCAACACCTCAATGAGTATCTGCAGTCCGACGGATCGGGTTCCGCAGCCACCACGGCGCAGCGCATCGACGAGGAGAAATCGTCCCTGGTACCCACCGACCCGGGCGCATTCTGTCAAGACACGTGGCTGGTTGTCCAGCAGTTGATCGACCAGATTCCTCAGGATCATCCCTATCAGGATCGATTGGTCGAGGTGATCGAGGCGTTGACGAGGTTGCCTTCCACGGAGATTAAGATCTGGGGGGTGCGTAGTTGATCTATTTCTCAACGGCACTGTGATGAACCACTAATGCGTCGCAAACAGGAAACTTCCCGCCTGTGGGCGGATCTCCCTCTCTTGGGACCTCAGATGCGTGACCATTGGAACCGTACACAGGCCCCGCTCCCGACACTTTTCTTGCCCCTCTGACAGTGAAATAAGTGCTAATGCCCCCCTTAGCCCCGGAATACAACGTAAAGAAAGCCGATTCCTGGCCCGAAAAGGCCCGGAAATGGGTGCGCCTGAACGCGTTCGCCGCTCGACTGTTGAACCTCGAGCCGGTTACTTGGGGCAATTTCGGACTCTGGACGATGCGCGATATTTTGGAGAACGAGATATCGGGACCAGAGTTCGAGAACGGTATCGAGGCAGTGGCGGTCTGGATCAAGTACGCCGGAAAGCTCATCTATGAGACGTCCAAGGCGGTCGAGCTACCAGAGGAAAGGATGTTTAAGCCGGGGCCCTTGTATTCCGGCCCGTCCAAGTACTGCCTAGAAAGATGGGTGTTCTGGAAGGATCGGCTGGGGGTTATTGGAGTGCAGGGAGGCGAGACGGCAACTAGGGCCCAGGAGACGAAGAGGATCATGGAGGAGATTGAGGCTTGAGAGATGTTTGTTTCCTACGAAGCGTCCTTTGAGAAACCCATAGGTATTCTGAATTTATGAATATCTTATATTGACCCAAGTACAGGGGTTGAATGCTTAAACCTGAAACACCGGTGTTTTCTTTCATCTCTCATTAATCATACCAAATGGCATTCATTCCGAATCCCTTCTCCGGAATATCCACGCGCGCCACGCGCGCCAGCCTCTCGTCGCGGAATCGGTACATCTCCACGAACCCAAGCTGGTCGTCGCACAGTGCCAGCCACTCGTCGCTAAAATCGCATGGGCTGACGGCGTTCGAGTGCCCGCCGCTAGTTGAGGTGGGGTTAATAAAAAGCTGCCGTTCGATGTTGCCGTTCGGACCGAGCTTGAAGGCCGTGATGTATCCCGTCACGTCGAAGTGGTTGCTGCGCGTCGTGGCGAAGAGGTATTCTCCGCTGCGGGCCGTGAAGGTGACGTCGCCACGGTACTTATTACGAGGGGGGAGGCCTTGTCGATCATCGTTAGCCCCGTCAATCGGATTGGCTGGAGAGACAAAACAGTAGACTCACCTGCGGGTAGCAAGGGGTACGTAATATGTGTAAACACAGGGACATGGGTTCGCTCATCGATCACATATACCGCTAAACGGTTTCCCGCCTCCATCAGCGCATAGAGATACTTTCCGCTCGGGTGCATCTCAACCCAGCGCGGGTGGTCGTCCGGCGAAGGTGCCTCGAGACAATCGACCAGCGTCAGTTGCCCTGTCGCGTCCTTCTTATGCGTCCAGATTTTGTTGGCTTGGAGATCGGCCGAGTAGAGATACGTCTCTGTCGGATCGAATACCATCCCGTGAATGCCCGTGTTGGGCTCGTATTCGTAGTTCTGTACGTTTTGCGCCAGTCGCCCGTCGGACTCGACCGAGAAAACGTTTCCGTAGCCTGCGTATTTGTAAAACGGGTTACCGTAGACGTTGTATGGGGGTTTATGGGCGGCTAGGACGAAGATGGCGCGCGTGTTGGTATCGGCGCTGGGGGCGAGCTCTGCGTGAAGATGGCGATTGAATTAGGCAGGTTGACTCAACGAAATGCAGCAGGATGGGACGCGTACCGTGGCCAGCGACAGGGTGTGAGACCTGATGAACAATATCGGTAGGACTGTTCACCGCAAAACTGTTCCATTTCTTCATAGCGGCGCCGTAGATGGCTTTTTTATCGTGCTGCGGGGCGCGAGCTTAAGCAATTCATCCAGAAGTTTGGGTTCAACAAAAGTCCAAACCTACCGAGAATGTCATCCACGAGATAGGCTCGGCCTCTGGGATATCGGTCTTCTTGACCAATTCCAGCGTGAGGGCCTCATCGTCAAATGCGACGGTGTAGATACGGCCTGGCGGGGTCCAGGTACCGACCATCAGATGGTGCTTCATGTTGGGAGGAAGGGAGCGAGAGAAGGCGCGCTTGGCGGATAGAGAGCGAGGAATTGAGGTCGAGGGAAGTTTCGATCCGGAGAGGAGAGTGCGGGAGAAGTTGGAAGAAAGAAGCATGGTTTTGGGTTCCCCGGAGAGAGAGGGAAAACCGGGGAACCCACTGTAGGAGCCGGAGGAGATGAAGGGAAGAAGGGAAGAACCAACAGCCGAAGTCAATCCCGTTCTCGGAATGCGGGGGTCGGCATCCGCTCCGGCAGTCGATACGCGCCTGAGGCACCAGTCCCGCGGGGCGACACGTGATTGGCTGTCGCCAGCGGATATGCTTATTGCCGCGCGGATCGGACTTTACCCGAAAACCCTTCATATACTCCGTGCCGAGTAACTACTCCATAGATAAATGCCACAACAATGCAGTTACTTCTGGAAGATCGTTAGGATCATAGTGTACTAAAATCTTCACTCCTCCACCCCTCCAAATACTGCTTCGCCCAGCGAGTTCGTAATCTGAATCACGAGGAAGCGTCTCAATTAGCCGCAGCCATTATTCACTAATTGACTTGGTGGCCCCACCAAGCTTATTTCAGCCGTTGGACCCGAATTCAGATCTGATCCAAGCACTCAAAACAAGAATACTATCTCCTTACCCTACATTCGACTCCACCAGATCGAAAAAAGCTTGTTCCTTTACCTACTTGATAGATGTCGGTGGGGCAAAGAAAGAAAGGAGAAAAGGCTCCGAAATTCAGAGTAACTAGTCAATCAGTGAAATCACAGAGGTGAGCAAGAACTGTGAACAAAAAGAAAAACCACAATATAAATTGTCCACCTATCGTAGCTAGCTCGTCTCATGAGGGGAGAGTTAACACATACACCGCAATCAGATCAAATGGTACTGGTGAAGTACACTTCCTGCACCTAACTCACGCACTGGTATCCTTGAAGCGCTCAACCTAGTTCCAGTACATAGGTATGTACCTATACGTACTTGATTTTCTAGGACGACCGTAGTCTTCCTCTTCAGGACACCGCCGCTTTACTGAGGGCGCTCAGGGGTCTGCTCAGTGAGTATTTCATGTCACGGATCACTGCTCCCTGAGCACTTAGTGCTTACTCAGTAAACAGTTACGTGTAACTAGTTACTCACTGAGCCGCTTATCCTCATTTATTTTGTGCGGGTAATTTGACAACTACGTTCGATAACTTCTTTTAGAGTTATCTAAGCCCGCACAAATGTCCGCTCAGTATAACGTAACTAGGAGTCGATGGGATTCAGCTCGCCCCCTGTTGGTACAATCAAGCAAAACGAATTCTGAGGGCAATAACGACGCATCTTGAGGGCAGTGTCGGAAGAAGGTATAAAAGTATAACTCTCCTCCTTTAAGTAGGTTATCTGGCATGCAATCACAATGTCCCTCCAAAATTTATCCTCTAATTTCGTTTTTTCAGAGACAAATCTCCCTTAGTTCTGTGTGCTCCGTTTTCCCGGCCACCAGCAAGGCAATGGGCAGAAAGAGCTTCTTCCAGAATGCAAAAAACCGGCAGAAATGCCTTGAGCATTATGCAGCAAATGGCTATGTTTCAAGAGCTTATATCGAGGAGGATACTATACGCAAAAAGCATGATCGCACCGATAAAGTCAAACAGCTGCAAAAGGAGTATGAAGAGCTTTACAAGGCGTAAGTTATCTCTTAACTACATTTTGCCCTGAGGCATACTGAACTTAAAACATTTGATATTTGGTACACTATAAATACGAGTGGGCTAGTTACAAATTAAAATGCAGCTGTTCCGCTCCCAATCTTGTCGTTATCAAAGATTTTATTCGTCGCAATGTCCGCTCTGTTTAGGGCAGCAGCCGGTTCAGTGATATAAAACGGCCGACTGTTAGGACTATATTAGCATGTGCCGAAATATTTTTTAGTAGTTTCGAGGAAGTAACTGGCAGCACTATTAAAGAAGATAATTGTACTGAAATATATACCCTAGTTCATAAAAGACACACTTTGCTAACAAAACTGAAGTGAATTAAAAAAGGCTTAACAGAAGAAGGGAAAATTGAGAACGTAAAGAAGAAGAAATTGACCTTACGAAAAACGACTACAAAGACTTGGTGACTTCGATGTAGACACGTGATTACCCTGTCTTCGTCCATAGACTTCTTAAAGTTTTAATGTTGTTTGCACTGCAGGTATTTCTCTTCACAGGCGCAAGAATTGGGCCTTCATTTCAGATGGCAAACACAAAGATCAGAGGGGCCTTTGATTCCAGGTAAATTTCTCCACCCAATATATACCTCTTCCTAAATCTTTGACTGGTTGCAGCATCTTGAACTGGTGTTATTTCGCAGCCCAAACCCAGACGAACCTTGAAAGATAGGGTTTCGAATCAACCAGCAATAGTTAAAAAAGCACAGAAATTCAAAATATACAGTATACGTATACCCATTTTGCAGAACACGCATGTTTACTACCACATAGAACGTCCTTTAATCTAACAAACTCGTTTAGATTCGGTATTGGAATCCGGGACGATAACAGACTGCAATTTGCTTCAGGTCTTCTGCTGCTTGTTATTGCTATAAGGCACGGAGCTCTTTACGGTATCGACACTTTGGATAATATAGCGGAGTACGATTTCCGTTATAGACCGAGAACCGAAATCCTACTGCGCTGGAAGACAGAAGCTCTCGAAGTACCAGTATTTCGAAATGTCACAGCCTAAGGCCCACAAGAGGTACCCCTGACGAAAGAGAGGTTCTGTTACTTTCTTCGTAACATTTTTATTGCCGCGGGTTATTCTAACCAGCCCACAATCCATGATATCCGTCGAGAGCTGGGGAAGAAGATCGAAGGTTAGTACTGCCCCTGATCAGCTTAACAGCCGAAGTGTACGTTCTGACATTCAACAGCCAGGCATAGCTCTGCGCCGGTATCGCAGATATATGCCCATCGATCTGCATCAATCTATCCGGAACATTATCTAGCGCATTGTTCGTCTATTGATACAGTTAGTGATGTTTTTGATGAGCCGAACGAGACCTATCACATAGAATACTGGCAAGGTTATAGACAATTCCGGGAGGTTGGATTGCCTACTACTATACCAGCTGAGAAAGAGAAAACCATCCTGAAAAACCCGGAGCTTGTTAAACTAAAGTCTCGCGTTCAGGATCTACTTGAAAAAGGGGACCTTACAGCCGCAGAATCCGTAAATAAAGAGCATAAGAGGAAATACGTTCGTCTCCGTCTTGATAAGTTGTCCCGCCATTATGGCGAATAGTTTCGAGAGAGAAGAGACCGGCGAGTCCTCAATAGAGGAAAGGGTAATCCGGAATGTATCGAGAATCACACATGTACGCGAGCTCTGGCCCTTATTATGCCCGAGCTAGAGTTCCTAGGTGCGACACTGTCTTCCGCAGAGCCACTTTCATTTGATCAAATGCTCCTATTCGCGGAAAATATGCTGGTACAGAGCTGTCGTAATTATGATGTTATCTATCTGCTCAACGAGGCACCGGTCGATGGCCGTTACCCTATCGTGTCATGGCGGGTAGATGTTTAGCAGTAAGTTCCTATCTGACACTATATCGAGAACGGAGTGCTGAAAACTGCAGATTTAAAAAGCGGAAAAGAAGTCTACACATAAAAAGGCTTGTGTTATGTGATCGTTTTGGATCACATATGACGCGTCAATTTGTCGAATTTTGTGAGAAGAATAATATTAATTTGTTCTTCTTACTCTCACATACTAGTCATATACTACAGCCTCTCGATGTTGGAGTGTTTAGTGTTTATAAACACTGGCATAGTGAGGCTGTCGAGGCCGCAACAATGACTGGATGCCGCAAATTTTCAAAGGATGAATTCCTACATTCAATAGGGGAAATTTGTCGAAAAACCTTCAAGCCGCATAAAATTAAGCTTGGATTTAAATTAACAGGCCTTTGGCCTATTAATTCCAAGTTTATTACTGATGAATTGGAGTTATATGACCCCTATCATGACAATATACCGCGGCCGGATACACGATCAACAACGTCACAAAGCACCGAGTTTAGCACTCCAAAAACCGCTGAAAAAGTGAGAAGAATAAGCCTACGGCTTAGTCAATACGATTCTACAACTCAGCGTTTAAAGGATGGGTTAACAAAGCTTGCAAAAGGTGCTGAAACGCAGGCTACTTTGGCTCTTCAGCTACAGATGGAATTTGATCGAACACAAGCTATTATGGGAGCTCGCCACGCCCGGTATAATACATCTCGTCGTCATGCACAGATTACCGGTATTATAAGTTCAAACCAGATGAAAGAAATGAAGCGAAAAGAATATAAACTGAGCGAAAAGGCCGATCAAGAAAAAACGAGACGGAAATGGAAGAAGGTGTTAGTCGAAATCAGGAAGCATAGAAGGGCCAAAAAACGCAGTGTAAAATAAATTGCTTTTGTATATCAGTAGTAAATTGACTAATTCATCTATATCTCTTATTAAATTAATTATTTTACTATCTGAAGGTGTAGTAAATTGAGGTTAAAGTAAAAGGTAAGAAAAAAGTTGCATATGGGTGGCGGACCCTCGCTTGCGAGGGTCCGTATTTTTTGAAAAAAAAAAAATTACAGGGGCCGGTTAGATCGCGCGGACTATGACGAGCTGAGCATGCAGCGTTACCTGCGCCAAGGTGTTTACAGTGTTTGTAGTGTTTGCACTATTTATCCCACGCAGTAGGTTTGTTTACTGCTTCATGCAGTAGAATAGTTGTCTTCTTCTTTTTCCTTCTTCAACCTAGTGTTCTCGTAAATAACCTGCAATAAGAGTCAGTTCTTCATTCCTGAGGTTGTCACACTATGATCCTACGGAGCCGTTCCTAGAAGATGTTATTGTTAAAGAGGTTTTTGAACCGCTTTAGGAAGTTGGAGATTGTTTATTAGAGAGTTTTCTGTCTTAGGAGACCCTTCTCTTGTTCTCTGATAATTTAGATGATGAAATTGAAGAGATTAGAAGAGATGAAGAGGTTGGAGGTTAGTGTGGAGTAGAGAAAGCCTTGTGGTTAATATGGCTAGGTGATCTTACCTATGCTGAAGTCACTCCTGATCCTCTACTGCAGCAGACTTTATCTCGCCCCCCTGAACCCGCAAAAGGTGATTTTAAATTATCGGGGAACGGGGGAAGCGTCTCCTGACGCAGGAAACTCTCTGGTAAGCGATCTCCAACTTCCTGAGGCGAGTTCAGGAACCTCTTTGACGATGACAGAATTAAGAACCGGAATTCTCAATGTACTACAACTACCTAGAAACGCAAGTTGAATGACATATGTATGATGAAGACAGCTGTATTCAGGAAGGTGGTGGTGGAGGCCAGACCTCAGCTAAATACAGTGTGGGCTACGTGAGCAGGCATAAGGCATACAACCAAGCCTCCAACATGTATCTTTAACATACATGTATGCGAAAAAGCACTAAAGCGAATGGAACTTGAAGCAAACATGAATAAAAGAAGTCTGGAACCCGACAAAATCAAAAAAAAAATGGCTGCCGTTTGAAGATACCAACACCTCCCTCTCGCTAGTCCTTCTCCCCTTCTTCCTTCGACCCTTTTTTCTTCGACTTGGGAATATTCGAGTCTAGCTCTGCGAATAGTTGTAAGAACCGAAATATCTGCCAATAATTGTAAGGGTTTACTTACCATTGTCTGAAGACGCATTAGACTTCTCACTAGTGTAATGGGTACAGATTGATCCCGTGATGGAGCTCGAATTTGATCCAAACACAGAGTCATGCTCTAGGCATGTGCTGCAACGCACCAAAGCGTAACGCCCCTGGGTGTTGCTTTTTTCGGGGGATGCGACTTTCCACAATTGTACGTCTGGTGGCTCAACATGGGCTCAGGCATAAATTATTCGCTGTTAGCTAACTTGCCATTATTCATAGATACAATATTTACTCGACTCAACTCATCCTGCTTAATTCTTCGCGATGACCTCTTTCGAGCCCTACCCGCTGACCGAGCTCGACCACCTTTTGATGCTAGCATACGTCTATTTGTTTCTCACATTCAATACATCCAACACCGAAGATAACATATCGCGCCTAAAAAATGGAGCGTCGCGCCTCATCCAAGAATGGCCCTTTCTGGCCAGCACAATAGCAAAGCCTGGACAGGAGCGCCCGCACCAAAAAGCGTATCAAGTCCAACCACCTTCCAAATCCGAGCTCCAAGCCAATCCAATCCTGCACATCAAGTTCCATCGCGTACCTGTCTCGGTGATGAAACAGGTCGAAGAAACCCCGGAGCAGTTAATCCCGATCAAGCCCCGATCGCCGACCCCTTATCCGGCGCCCGCGCGACGGTTCCAAGCCAACATCATGACCGACGGTATCATATTGGCAGCTTCTTGGCATCACCGCTTCATGGACACTTTTGGGTGTCACGCTGTTTTCGATGGTCTGGCACACTTTTGTCGGGGAGGTGGTTCTTATGTTACGTTCGACATTGCTCGCTACTGCAAAAGGTTATTCGCCACCAAATCAAGAACTTTGGCGGAATGGCGAAGAGCCCTGCCGCTTTTGCAGATGCGTATGTGTCTGCCTACGCGACAAGCCATTATCGAGAAAACCAAGTGTTGCGGGGCTATGTGCTCTGTTTTCGAAAGATACAGACGCCCAAGGAGATGTGTAACTCTCGACTTGCGGAACTCGGCCAGTCGCGCCAAATCGAGCTGACCTGCGACGATATTGTCACGGCCTTGATGTGGCTTGCTGCTGCTAATGAACGCAATCGCGCCTTTTCAATCCCTCGCTCATCGCTTATGCGATATGCCAATGCGCGGAACTTGCTGGAGCCGTGTATTCCGAGTGCCTTTTTTGGGAATGCAGTCGCGGTATCACGGTCTTACTGCAATGTGCACGAGCTACAGTCCGCGACTGAAACCCCAAATATCTCAGGATGCGAAGCCATTCCAGGTTTGACCCAGGAAGCAATAAACGCCTTGTCACGCGTGGCCTGGCTCGGTCGCTCAGCAAATAGAAGCATAGACGCGAGCCATGTGGGGGATCTTCTCGCGACATTTCGGGCGTCTCACGACTGGGACTCGTTGAATATTGCCCCTGCCGACGTGCCTGTATCGAGCATACGGAAGATTGCTTTTTACGGTCTCGATTTCGGGCAGTCATTTGGCCCTGTGAAGGACGTCGATCCCTTGGAATTCAACCTGCAAGGACAGTGTGTCATTGGTCCTGCAAGATATCGTGGTTCAGACACACCCTGGGAGATTCGCATGGCTTTCCCCAAGGAAGTCACTCAACATTTGGAAACGGATCCTCTGTTGTTGTGGGCGAGAATCGAAGAGAAACCAAAACTTTAAGTTACTATCTTCAAATTTTGTTAATGTAACCGTATTGATCTAACCAAATATCAACTTAGAAGCAATGCAATCGGATTGCAGTCGCTAGTTCTGCAAAGATGTCCAATAGCCAGGTCTAGCAAAGAAAGCCCCAGCAATACATATGTTTAAAATATCTCCGCAAATATTCCCAGAAGCAAATCTGTATCTCAAAAAGCCCATCCGATAGAAGGGGATATTTCGATATCATGTATCCCATGGCGCTCTGGAAGCCTGGCAAATTATCCCCCACCGCTGCAACGCTCAGGCTGTGCATCAGAACTGGCTGTGTCGGGTATACCTTAATAGTAGCTGATACCACAACGCCGTAGGTGCCACCACCTCCACCTCGTAAAGCCATAAAGAGATCCGTATGCTGACACTCGTTGGCTATGACGGTCTCTCCAGATGCTAGAACGACCTTATATTCGAGGACCTGGTCTGTTCCCAAGCCAAATTCGTTGGATGTCAAACCATGGCCACCGCCTTGCAAGTAGCCACCAATCGTACCGACGGACTGGCTATCGTTAGCTTATTTTATCATATTACGGAGGATATACACACCTTGTCGCTACCGCCAACTGCAATAACACTATGCTCGGCTGCCTTGGCATAGACCTCTTGCCAAACGTATCCGCCGCCCACAGTAAGAGCACTCCCAGTCCAGTTGGACTTGCACTTGGTCGATGAGTTATATTGCTGATGGAAATGGATTCCATCTCTGATATGCTTAATCCAGATAGATAGACTGCGTCAGCCCATGCGGTAAATGGGCTGGATCGGATGGTCAGGTATGAAAGACTAATTTCTACCAGGGGATGCAGTTTCTCTTAGGCTGAGGGCATTTATGGAATTCTTCTTAAATTCGTAACATAACAGAGCTTCTGTCCGTTAACTCTTTTGATTGAAGTACTTCTAGACACATTGAATATTCTCATACTAGAAATCGAATCAATGTTTCACCGTGGCCAAGCGGCTGTTCAGTTTGAACATTTTGTGGGGATTGTTATCAGACTCGCTCGGGTCCAGGAAATCAAGCTTTACGCGATGTTCAAATACCAAGCAATAGGCCGATCCACCAAGGTGAAACATTCCAAGCTGCTGTCCCTTCTGCACCTGCTGGGTTTTGTAAACTGTAATTTCGCAGCTTGAAATCTCGTTCATCCCGATCGCAATGAAGCATACCAGTCCGATAGCCGGGTTGTCCGCCTCAATGAAAATAAGCGCTCTCGTAGCAACAGAGGCCAGATAAAACTGAGAAAGGTTCGGACCCGACGGATCAGGGTTCGGAAATAGATTCGATCGGACATTGGAGTAGTATGTGCCTGGAATATGCACTATTTTCTTCACTGTCCCTGCGATCGGAGAATGCCAGCGGTGATAGCAGGCCGAGCTCAGCCAACCTTGATAGACGGTGCCGTTAAAGAACCGGGAGCTGTACGAGTCGGAGTCCATCATATCGATTATAGAGTATGGCTGGGATTTGAGCCAAAAGGTGTCGCGATCTTTGACCCTTTGCACTACTCCCTGCTTGCCGGCTTCGCAGGCATTGACGATCACATCGGGGTCTTGGTCTTCATGGCTCACATCGCGGACACCCGTACAAAACTCGCGGGTGAAAAACTTGTCCCAGCTGGGAAACCCCCAGGTAGGAGAGCTGGGATCACATTTATAAAGCTGCTCGATGGGGGAGCTGCGTGGCCACTGGGCATAGTCCTTCATGATATTTTGGTAATTAGTGCTGAACCAATTCTTGTCGTTGTCCTTCTCGTGATTTATGTATTTGGTAGACTTGGGGTCGTATTTGAGAAAGTCGCCCCATCTATCGATAATCTTCTTCAACTTTTCATTCACGTGCTTATTCAGGAAGAACACATAGCCGCTTGTCGTATTCGCTGGCCAGTTGAGCACGGCATTGAAAGGTACAGTAATCGCGCTCAAACCCGCTTCGGTCGCACGCACATACGGCGGAGAGGTCAAGATCTCATTGAAGACTTTCAGCGTTTGGTCAAAGTCCTTGACGTCGTATGTCGCATCGCCTTCCACGCGAGGGATTTCCTCAAACATTTTTTTCGCAAGAACCTTGAGGGCAGGGTCATCTTGCACAAGACTTTGGAAGTCCTTAATCACAGGATCAAGCTCTTTGGGGTCGCTCTCAGCTTGTTTTATGAGAATCCTGAGCCACTTGCAGACTTCTTCGGGCGAAGGCAGCCAGTCTCCGAATCGGGAATCTTTATTGCCCGTTTGAGTTGCTGAGTCGGACATTTTCAGGAACAATCAGGGGTTTCTATTACAAAGAAAGTAATGGGAAAGCCAGTGAGAACACTCTCGTGAAGTCGATTAAGTTATTTCAGAAACGGGGGGGACACATTAACAAGGAACAACCGTCTTCCAAATATTCATGTTAAAATTCATCTCTATGAAGACCCCTCATTTATAACATCTTCTTTTTAGGTTACATTTCCCTTTTAATGGGAGATTTTTGTTCTGTAACGCACGATGCCCAATGCGACAATTGACCCTGCCACTAAAGAATCGATGACAGCTCCACTTCTCCGGGCGCGGTATATTCGGTCTTTCTAGGCACATCGTAACATACTAATGCAACGGTAGCCTATCCACAATTAAGGTACGGCCCTTCCCAAGTTCCTGTTCCGAGTGGGCCCTGAGAAAACGGTCCGGGCTCTCTCCGAGTCGGCATGGTTTAAACCAGCTACACTTGCAAAGTAGCATTGGGGCTATACTCGTCACACACTTGCTCTGTCTTACGTCAATCATAACTAGACAGTTGTTCAGGTGTAACTTCGTTCATGGGTATGTAGTACTGGTGGTTAAGGAAATCCTGTGTGTATCTTGCTCGGTGGAAATTTGAAATGATACGAGTTCACCAAAACGCATATAAAGTCTACTAGGACTAAGCCCATCCTCATAAAATTTATCGGAATCAACCCACCATTCAGTCTAAAACTTTAGTTCATGTCGTACAACCTGTCAAGATGCAGCTTTTGAATTTGCCCTATTTAATTCTTGTGGCTACAATTGGAAGGAGTGTTGAGGCCAAGATAGTAAGATTTCCTATATCTACTATCATTTACGCGTATGCTATAACAGGTATCGTCAACTAACTTGTATTCAAGGCCTCTTTCACTTCTGCGCTTAACTGTGTAGGTACATTGACCTCCATCCAATGGTCCGATTGTACTGCAAAGTCAGTTTATACCTATCATTCTGCTCTCTACAGGCTGAGCTCATGCTCATCGATATTACAGTGGAGCGGTCCAGGCAATTACTGTCCCGCAGGCAGACGCATATGTTCAGTTCTTTTGTTATGAATATAGGTTAGGCTTAAACCTCCGAAAATAAGCTACTAGCTAAGGAGCTCTAGGTCGGAGGATTCATCCTGCGTCGAAACACAAAACACTTTATCATCAGGCTGTTCAGATCTGAATTATGAACGAACTAAATGCACATACTGGCCGAGAAGACTCAACGTAAGTGGATAGCCGATATTCCAACCTGAGCTTCCTGTTGCTTACACTATAATACCTCCTCCAGGCTACTGTGTATCATCAGCCCAACTTTGAAGGCCAACCTTCCATACTTCCGAATATTTTGACCCCCGAGTGCAATGTCCTATCCAATATTGGGTATGTCAACCGAGATTTCGTGCTCGAGTAAAAATTAGCTAACATAGCACATAGCATAACATCCGTTGGATCAATGATTGTCCCACCCGCTTATAATTGCTCCCTATTCACGTAAGGAAGCTATCTCGCGTACTGTAAACCCCTTTTAACACTGAACTAGGAATGAGTCTTGCAATGGCGCCCCGGAGGATACTATTTCGTCGCCTGGATGGCATGATCTTTTTACTGCTCCCCATATTGGCAACCAGACCAAGAGTATTAGATGTGCAAAATAACTGAGAATCTATTGCTCTTTGAGTATCAGGCACACCTTTCCTTATTTGGCCTCGAATAATCCCAACTCCCGCATTAATAATGCCGAGTCCCAAAATCTGGATGATATGGCGATTGTTCGAAATAAATGTACTGTGGCATAGGTAGAGGGTTTCCGGGGATATTGGACTGAATGGCACGTACTACTATTTGGAGTGCAGTATGGAAAATCTAATGTCTTTTGTTTCCAAAGAATAATGTAGACTGATAAATTACCGTACTCCTCACCCTCTACAGTTTCAGTGAGACTTAAGCATTTAACATTACAATTATTGCCACCCATCGCTTTCATCATTAAACATACCATGCATGGCCTTGGTTTCGCATTCGGGCCCAATAGCAATGTTCAGTTCTAGGGCCGAAAGACCAATAAGTTCGAGGCGAACGCATGCTACCAAATGTCACACACTAGCTCAGGGAAAGAGAAGAATTCAATTAAAACACTAAAATCAATGCAAAACAGGCCGTTCAAGCGGTTCATTGGATGATAAGTAGTTGGTTCAATCCTGTGGGTGAGGCAGGCGGTAAAATCGTCCGCACTAGGGCCAACCAGAACCACCATATATAGAAAAGTAGTGAGATGGTGACAGTTGGGGTTCCATAAAGTCAAACGTCCTCGTTTGAAGCGGTTGGACCGATAGAAGAACATCCTTGTAGGCAATTTGAAAAGGAAAAAATATTAGTAGTATAGGGTTAAACCATGCGGCAAAGAAAGAACTTAGATAGGACATTAATAGTAAGATATGCAAGCAAGATAACAACGATTTTAGCAAGCAATTTGAACTCCGTCCATGCGGACAAAGAAATCCATAAATTGCATGCGGAGAGACAGATTAAACTTTGTGAAATGCAGTCGTAAGATATGATCAGGCATACAGTCAACGTCGATGCAGAATGGCCATTGGGGAAATTGATCGGTCAGTAAAGAATTAGGAAAAGAGGAATTAGAACAGCAGGTTGGACCATGCAGTCAAGCGGGAAACAGGAAGTTTGATGATCGGAAATGCAGATTGAATGAGCAGATCAAGCAGAGGCAGGACAGGTCAAACAAGAGGATCAACTTGAATAGAGAAGGCATGCAGTTTGAGCAACGGTAGAACGGTCGAGCGGGAACCTCAGCTTGGACAACATCACTGCGTGTCATCGGCACGATGGTTTCAGTCATACCAACCGGTTCTTCCCTCCCCCCTTCTTCCTTCGACCCTTCGCGTCTTGCTCTGCGAATGATTGTAAGTACTAAAACATCTACTAATGATTGTCTATATTTACTTGCCATGATTCGAAGACATATTAGAGACTATGACTAGAGTAGAAGCTAAAAGCTTAATCCAAAGCCAGAGCTCTAGTCCGATCCATAGGCAGAGTTATCGTTTCAGCATGCTCTACAACAAACCAAAGACCAACGCTCCTAGGTGTTTGTTAGGGTGGAGGGGTGCAACCGTCGTCCACATTCCTGCATCCTGTTGTGACCCATAATACAGCCTCGGGCTGGATAAAGAACTCTTTCCCACTAGCACATGGTATCGTTTCTCTTTGGCTTTTCTGTCTTAAAGATGGCTTCGTCGAGTTGTAGCTTTGGATTGGGATTGATTGACCGACTGACTGTTGAAATGATGCTGCTGATCTTCAAGAAAGAGGCGAGGGAAGACAACCATTAAATAGACTAAAAGAGAGACGCTGTACTTCTTGGGAGGCGCTATCAATTAAAATCGATGTTTCATCTCCAAGCTTTGTATATATAATGCTTGGATGAGGTTCGGTTGTCCTCCCAGTTGTGAATTTCGTCGGCGATCTGGGGCTGGGTAAGCGCCCAACTAGATCCCGAGTATAATTTTAGGTATATATATCGTGCGTAGAGCGAATGAATCAAAAAAGACAGACGGACAAATGAAGGGTGCCGAGGACTCTTTTATAGAGATAATCAGCTGACCAACCGGTCAAATGAACTACCGGAGATTCCCACAATTTCATGAAATCTTCCGCATGGTTGCAGGATTTAGAAATATTCCAATAAGATCTAACTTCTGCCTTGTGATTATAATTATACTAGGAATTTAGACCGGCCCTTTTTCGGCCCAGATCGCCAACGAAATTCACGACTGTGGTTGGCCCCTCACTAGGCGCCTTCGCAGCGAGAATCAGTGCTCACTCCACGCGCAAATACTCTATCACTATTCAAAGGATATTGCTGGTATCAAACAAGGCATGCGATACAATCAAAGACACCGCCACACTGTCAATAAGGTCTATGGAGGTCTCCGACAGAGTCGCCCGTCCCAGGGATCTCCGCGGACCAGCAAGCAAATGCATGCATATTCCATTGTATAGGTAGACTATCTTCTCTGGAGCTCAGTTATCTTTATAATTTTAATAAGAATAAAGATCGTATCTTGGATCTCCCCATTATAATCCTCATTATAATAATAGCCTAGTAAACTATCTCACCTATAAATACAGACTCAAATGTACTAATATATCTTCATACAGGATCTTTGCGATCTTTTCGAAACCTAACTCAGCAGCGTGTTCCAGAGCAGTCCGGCCAGAATTATCAACAAACCCCATATTGGCACCTGCCCTGATTCGCGACCGGACAACTTCCTGATGGCACCCGATAACAGCGAATATCAGTGGTGTCTGTCCCCCGACGCTCTCAGTTGAGTTGACATTGGCACCTCGGTTCAGGAGTATACGTACCACCCTGTCGTGCCCATTTACAGCAGCTTCCGAGAGCGCTGTTCGCCCAGTATCGCTTGGTGACTCCTCGTCCACTCGGTAGGTGTCCAGAAGCTCCTGCACCACATCTCCATGGCCCCTGAAAGCAGCAAAGTTTAGTGGAGTGAGCCCGCGAGCTGATCTAGACCCTGGATCTGCCCCGTACTTGTTAATTAGAGTAGTGACCATATCTTTGTGTCCGTGCGCGGCCGCAAAGGATAGTGGTGTTCTGCCATTGGGGGTTTCGGCATTTGAGTCGTGACCGGTTTTGATCAAAGCTGAAACCAAGGAGGTCAAGCCAAACCAGGCTGCCACATGTACACCGTTCATTCCCTGTGGTACATTCTGTGAATAGCCAGCAAAGATAGGTCTACCCTCTACCATCACGCGGCCGCGAGCTGCCTTCTTGGCGCGATACGGATCCATCGCCTGGATGGTCTGCGTTGCGGCGAACAAGTAGGCTCCACCCTGCAGGAAATCTATGACTTCCTGTTGCAGGATATTGAACTCTTCAAAACAGAACTTACTCAGGTCGAGGAGAACTGGACTGAGATTTTCGGGTGCAGTGGATACAATATAGTAGTGCTCTTTCTGCCTTTCTCGCGGCTTCTTGCACATGATGGCCCCAGTAGCAAGCGGCGTACTCGTAGAACGGGTTTGCTTGCATTCTAGCTTCAAACTCCTCATCGCTCTGGGAAAGGCCGTATTCAAACGGCTTGGATCTCATGTATGTGATACAGGCCCTGGCAATCTCCGTGTCGGCATTTACGAGCTAGTGACCTAGCTTCCTTCTGAGAAATCTCTTGGACCTTTCGTTATGCATCTGAATCTCGCCGGTGGTTTCATCCCAGGTCATCAAGCCAGTGGTTATGGCCTGCATGAGACCAGGGGATGGAATATCCTTTATGTTCATTTCAGTTGAACGAGGTCATATTGAAACGGCATGTTGAAGCTGCCAGAGCGTCAGCGGCCGCTTAGTATGCTGCAGCCACACCAGTATCTGCTGAAGAAGGTAGTCGTTTGGCGACATACCTAATCCAAGTTTCCGTATTCCAGGAGACATCTTATTAGATGAAGATATTCCTGTAACTAATGGTTGACTAGCTAGGCAGTGGCTTTCGCTTGCGTTCAGACCTGTTAATAAGACTTAGTTGGAGGAGTTGTAGGTATGTTAACGGTCGCATGTGAAAGGGTAGACGTTGTTCATTACCATATGAGAGTTAAAGGGGTATTTATAAAGACATCTACATCAATTTGGGCATATGTGACAAATATAAGTGGAATGTTCCCCATTATCATATAAAACTTTCCATTTATATCACAAGTAACTTGCTCGAGTAAGTTCCCTCAATGTTTTTCTTTGATCATTTCACATAAAGAGCATATTTCATTGTGCTCAAAGAACTCAGCCTTCTATATTAACTATGCATTATTTTGCACTCAACGGCATAAGTACTACAGGGAGTTTCACGGACCAAAACCGTGTCATTTTTCATGTAGATATGGAGGGAAATACGGAAGGTTTCAGCCTCGGAATAGTGATAGTGCCCGCAGAATATTTCATGGCTCGTGGCTTCAACTGAAGATTGGTTCTAGAGTCTTCTCGTGACTATATATATTGAAACTCAGTTTTGTGATCGTCAGGATAAGCTTGAGATCAACTACGTATGGCAAGTACTACATAAGTAAAATCAAATTTAACTAATTTTTTATCCTTATAGAGAATGCGTCTGTTCATTGAACCAGAATAAAGGAGAAATTAGTATCTCTGTGGGCAAGAAATCTGCTGCTGCATGGACTGCGGGAGGACGGCTGGCGGAAGCCATTCCCGAGTCTTGGCGGTACTTTATGCGGGGACCCGTGGTTGCCGGTGGCCCGAGCCGAAACCGTAGGCCGCAGAGGATTCTACCTTGTTTGGACCAGCATCCACAATACAGCACTGGAAGAGGTCACTATGTATTTCCATGCCTAAACGATATGTTTGATTCTGTTTAGAATGAATTCGAATTTGCTATCTCAATGTCACTGAAACAATTATACACGCAGCCTTCTCGCTTTCAGCGCACCCGGTAAAGCGAAGGTCAATTGTCTCGGAGTTGAAGCCTATGACATTATAAATGTCGTCACAACGCCGCAAGAGACTAACCCCGGTGAATTCTCACTGAGGCATCATATTTGAATAATGATAGTTTCTGTTGGAACGATGTTATCAACCAGACTAGAGAGGTGGAGTATCTTGACCTAATCCACATACCGCACAGCACCTTGCTTGGCCTAGACTTGGCCTTCTATAAATGCGAGGGCCTCGTTCTTTTCGGGCTATGAAGTCCTGAACCGAGCAGCCTTCATTGAATTCTCCTCGACAAAAAAAGCCTGACTCAATTTATCTTTGACAAAACCCCGACTACATAGCTACCATGTCTTCTAGTGGTCATCTTTCCCAATACAATCCCAAGGAGGCGATTGTCCGTGAACTCCGCGATTACATCTTCCGTACAGAAGAAAGAGCCAGAGCGTTCAGATTCGCCATTTCCTCTGCTCGTGCCAAGGAAAATGGCGGGCAAGAGGAGATGAACGCAGAAGGTGTATATGATCTCTATGATTACTTGCGCTTCTGTGATGACCTCTTGAGATGGGCCCCGGATGTCTCTAGTCCTGGGGATGCACTTCTCCGAAAGCTCCTTATCTTTTACTGGGTTTTCGAACAGCCGTCCGTTAGGAACCTGCAAACGCCTATTCTTCCGTCTACCTCTAGTACCGACTTGTCCTGGGTCTCCTACTGGCTAGTTAACTACGCTCGTGAGATTGGACATTGGATGGATACTCTAGAGTCTGCTGCACATGTTGAGTCGTTCTATAACAATCCGATCTATAACCAGGACAAAGACCTATGGGAAACGCCGCCTCATGGAACATGGCAGTCTTTCAACGAGTTCTTCGCGCGCCGCTGGGCTGACATTAACGTTGCTCGGCCCTTAGCCGGAGAAGGCGACGACACGATCATTGTCCATGGCGCCGATTCGAAGTTCGGCGGAAACTGGGACATCATTGACGGATTCGTTAATATCAGAGACGGGGCTCTCATTGCCAAGGGCATCGACTGGCCTATTGATGAGCTCCTTCAGCGGGTCGGGCCGGAGTTCAACAACGGAAGCCTGATGCATGCGTTCTTGTCCCCGCATGATTATCACCGCCAGCATGCGCCGGTGAGCGGCAAAGTCGTCGAAGTCAAGAATATTCAGGATCAGGTTTACCTGCAGGTCACCAAGAAGAGAGACGGCAATAAACTTGTTCCGGATAGAGGCCTTACCCGTGATCCCGAAGAGGTTTCGCGCCGCCAGGCTAGGAAAAGGAAGGGCCTGAGAGAGCTTGATGCTCCAGATGATGCTGGCTATCAGTGGTGCCAGACCCGGGGACTTATTATAATCGACACTGTTGTTTACGGAAGGGTCGCTGTGCTTCCGATTGGCATGGCCCAGGTCTCTTCGGTTGTGATCACGGTACAGAAAGATCAATGTGTTAAGAAAGGCGACGAAATCTCTCATTTCCTATTCGGGGGCTCAGATATTGTAATCGTCTTCGAAAACAAGGTGAAATATCGTGAAGATCTCAAGCCCAACGAGACCAAGATCAATGTGAGAGAAAAGCTGGCCAGCTTCTAGATAGTTTGGTTTCATTAGACGCTGGCTATGAATAGGAGTTTTTGATCCCATGTGGCGAATACTATGAGTTCAATTGCACAACAGCTCTGTTTTCAAGTAGGAACGCTTCAAAAGATATCAATCACATAAATATTTAAAATATCAGAGCCTCGGCCACTTTGTAAGAGAGCTCTCATTGGCAGATGGCCTTCTAGCCTGTAAAAATGACATCATCATAACATATCTCAAAGTAGCGTTCCGAGTCTACTTGTTATGAAATGCACGGGGGAAGGAGGGCAGAATGACACTGTATCGGCTACACGCACGTAGCCTACTAAGGAGCGAATGCTTTTAGAATGATAGGGCTCTTAATTATCTTGCATAACGATTAATCTCTTCTTCTATGAAAAAGAGATAAAAGGGTAAGTTCCTCAGGGGTTCGAGTGTGCGGGCCAAGCCGCTAGATCACGTAATCTCATAGATTCGTAGTTATCACTACTCCCATGAGGTAACAGGGCCATGGGATTGCCGATTCAGCATTGAAGAACGAACACTTAGGCTTGTGTGGCGTTGTCTGGCGTTTGTGGAAACGACGAGCAGACCACAACGTGATATATACCGCCTCCATCAGCTTCTGGCTCCTCCCCTCTTCTAGTACCCCGACTGCCTCTCCGGTGCTACGTGACGCTATTCCCACTTCCTCCGACATGGTCGGCATCCTTCCGTTCGATGTCGGCATGTCAGCCACTTCTGGGGTTCTACATGGACGCATGCGCCTCCAAGTGCGACACGAGGCCGAGATCCTTGCAGGAACTAAGATGTAAACCCGCAACACAGTAAGCGCTGACTCCCCCGACACGAGGCCGCCCGTGCGGACCGCCGCCGCCGGGCCAGGTACAAGATGGCATTGTAGACTGTGTAGACTGTGTAGATCTTGTAGAGCTAGTTGCCAGCACACCGGACTATAACAGGTCGGGAGGTCTGCCCGGTTCAAGAGGAGAACAACAAAAGCCAGCAGGCAAGCCATCAATGCAATCGCTTCTCCGTGCAATATCATATCCATCAGCTTAAAAGAGATTCAGCGGAAATGCGCTTCACCAAACTCGCTGGTTCCGTCGCCGGGCTCCTGGCCCTGGCCCTGGCCCCAGTCAGCTGCGCTGAGTCTGACTTCCTCTTTCACGGCTCCTCCATCGTCATTTACCCGTCCGCGGTATCAGTCCATCCCAAGGACAGCAAGGTTGTAGGGGCCAACTTCTTCTCCTACGTCAATCCTGACGGATACTTCAGCTTCGGCTAGTAAGCATCAACGGGCTCCTTTTCCTCGCTCCCACCACAAAACTGTCGCTAACCAATACCTAAATCCCAGGTGGCTCGACGCGAAACCCGGCGTCGACACATCCCACTGCTCCCCCAAGCCCAGCCAGATCGACTGGTTCGAGTATACTTCGGCGGGCAACTGCACAGCCGTCCAATGCCGCGTGCACGCCGTCAACTACCTCGTTGAGGATCCAACAAAGCCCTTCATTGATTCCGACTACGTGGTCGCCGCCCTAGACCTGGGCAATGGCGACGCCGGCCAGTTAGCCCTCAGTTACTTCGACCAGCTCCTCGGTGGCTACGCAGTCGGCTCTCGCAACGTACTGAGCGGCCACCAAGCCGACGCTCGCAACGCCGACGACTGCCACGCCGCGTTCGAGACCCTGCTGAATATCCAAAAGAGATGGAACATCCAGCTTCATTTCTCCCTGGAGAACCCCTGCATGAGGCCATCGGGAAGACTTCAATTCCCCATGGGGGATCTGTAAGCTCTGCCTTACGATGAAGGATAGGAGGGTTGCCGATTAGGGGCGAGTTATGTAGTTCTGTCGAGGGGGGTCAGTACCATCTTGACGCAAATTATTTCACCTGGTTTTTCTTGTTTAACATTACGATAAATGATATGTGGTCCTTTATGTCTTTTCCTATTGGTGCTGTGTGCGTCGTCGTTGCCCGCTATTGCTGTTTATGGGGGGAATCCATTGCCCGTGGAAAAACCTTTTTATGTCCGTCAAAATATATACAATGATGTAGTATGCAAAGTGAGGTAGAATGAGACTGTCTACCCAACCGTATTCTTACATTGAATAGCATCTATAGAACTGGGATTGCCGACATCTCACCATAGGACCGAATACACGGTTTCCTGCAATGATTAACCCCCGTTGTTCAACGGCTTAAAGGTGTTTCCTCCACAGAGAAATATCATCCATCCATCGAAGATATCTACATACCTTGAATTGAACCGTATTGTTCCAACTATAGATTGGTTCCAACCTCTACAGCACTCCACCACAGACCCTAACTACCGCTCAGCCCAGAATGACTCATAAAGAGAAGCGTACCAGGAAAATAAGGGCCAAGAAATTATGAACAATTCTGAAACTTCATCAACTGATGAAATCAAAAATGCCGAGCCCAGCAAGGCGTTACTCATTCTATACTCCAAGGCCAACTGACAATGGCTAGAGCATAAAGCAATAGTCAGTCCGTAGTAACGACTGATATGTGCCGCCTCCCTGCACCTCTCGCACAACTTCCTGGTCAATAATATCTTTATAGATGAGCGGCAACTGTACTTGTCCTTCCGCCATTCGCTCGAGCAATTTCAGAAAGAGGGTGAGATCCAGTCGGTACGACTGCTGCTGAGATACGCGCGCCTGCACGAGAATAAACCTACAGCACAGGAAGTATGCCGACGCCAGCATCGGGTTTAAGACCGGGCTTACCACGAGGCCCGAGACGACCCGCAGCGCGTTAACGACTTTGTCGACGGACTTGTAGGAGCAGGCAAAATTGTCCCGCTCGCTGGTTAGGACCACACTCCCCGAGCGGCGCTCCGGCTCCGTGATGTAGAAGAGTACCGTGGAGCATTGGTGGAGGATGATCAGCAACCAGACGCTATGGAGCAGGTTTTCGGCCGGGACTTCCACAACGTTATGGACACACGGTGGCAGGATGACCCAGAAGCAGGCCAAGGCGGACTGGAGCTCGCGAAACTCAGCGAGGCGGCGCTGGCCTTCGGCGCCTGTTGGCATGGGGCTGATACTCTTATGCTCGGCGATGCGGCCGAGAATAACAAGCGTTTTACACACCAATCGGGTCAAAGTGACCCCAAGTGGGACATTGGATTTTTCGGCTGTTATTACCTCCAGGCCACGGTTGAAGGGTTCTGGCTCCTTGGCGAATTGGTCAGTTAGAGAATCGAATGGCGTGGTATCAAGGGCCAAGCTCACTGGGCGTATGCCGTGTTGGAGAGATCGGTCGTCCAACGGATAGTTCACACACCACAAAGTATCGTCAATTACAAAGTGGCGACCTGCTAAGTAGTTGATGTGCCTATCAAGGACAAATAGGGCCCACAGTGTGCATCGGCATTCTTCCTCTGCAATTGAGGAGAATCGCAAGGGTACGGGGATATTGGGAGCCGGGTCATCCAGTCTGTTCAATCCATGCAAGCAGGCGAGTGTATAGGCTTGTGCCAAGAGAACAACGGCTTTTGTAATCTCCCCCGAGCTGTACAGGGAAAAGACACACCAGACAGATGCCTGCATATCCCGCAAAACGTTCTCCTACCGCTCGGGTCAGTGGGCAAAATAAGTATATGCAGGGCAGGCTAATCGGATACCTGTAAAGGGGGGCTCTGTGAGAGCAATTCAACGGTATTTTGCAGAAAGACGTACGCCTGAGTAGAGACACATGCATCGGGGCTTGTCCGCGCGGCCGTGGCCACGATAGCCCACTCCAGTGGCGTGGATAGCTGGGGGCCCTGTTTGCCCCGAAGGCGATCTAAAAACGTCTCCTTGTGAATACATGCAAAGAACGGATGGTGGCGCTCGAAGAAGTCATTCGTCAGCTGGATGGTTTGGGCTTGCGATGGCACCTGGATCGACTGCAAGCCCGAAAGAGTGCGCGACGATGGCCGGGATGGCTCGACTAATGTAACGGTGTCTGAGGGGGGTGCGCCGTGCGACACCCCATTTATATCGGAGGCGGGTGGAGATAGCTCAGGAGGAAAGTTCAGGGGCGTGAACGGCATGGAGGGAGATGCGGCGGCCAGAGTCTTTGGGTCCCACAAGGCTGGGTTTTGTACCAGAGCGTCCAGCTCCATCTCCAGACTATGGGGTGTGGGGAACCCATAGTCGAACGTTGTCTGAGCGCCGGGGTAGACACATTCGACATCCCACCCACTGCACGCCGAACATGCGGGACGACTGCCCTATCTCGAAGAGTGAGTGAGCCACAAGACGAAAAAAAAGTTGAGAACTGCTTACATCGCATCGCTTCTTTCGTCGACGACATGCCTGCATCACCACTACTTAGGACGGGTTTCAAGACGAGGAGCTGCTATATAACGCACCAAACAAGCCTGTTTCCGTTTCCCAGACTGTGACTGCTGGTCCATGGCAGCTTCGTATGGATGAACCCGATGGCCTGATGCCATCGTGGGTATTGCGTTAGATAGAGGATACAATGGTATATAGTCAAGAATCGAGAAAACAAATAGCATGCATTTGGGACTGAGGCTCAGAGAGAGACGCGGATATACAGACGACTATATAGAGCAAGGAAGTGTCGAAGAGAGAACAAGAACAGTACCAGTAGGGGAGCGCATTTTTCCGACTTCGATGAGGCTCCTGCGCCGCCGCTAGTAATATACCGTACTGTATTATTCCCGCATGGGGCTCAATGAAATACGGCCTGAAATACCAATGTTTCCTTATGATTTCGTCGTTTTTCCCCCCGTATCCGGGGAATCCTCATTGGACTTGACAGAAGCGGGGAAGTGCGGGGGAAGATTCCATACAGAGTAGGTACGGTATGATTTGAATTGTTCTGACATACAGGTAATCGCGTAACGTAATAGTAATGCAGAAAAGATTGGAGGAAATCGATTGCTTGTCCCTCTGTATGTACTTCCCAGTCATGCCCGCTCGACAAACACCAGCTCGGCGCCGGCATTCGGAACGATGTCGAATAAGTGGTTGAATTGATCCCGTGGTCGTTCAGTGCCTGGCGGTAGACACAGATCATAACGGAGCAGGATCCGCGACAACGTGGCTTTGAGCACGTTAACGGCGAAGTGTCGTCCAGGACAGGCGTGGCTGCCGGCGCCAAATTCGAGCGAATCGGGTCTGTTGATGTTCAAGGGAGGACGGTTAGTGCCGATCTTTTTGCGCCCCGGGCCATGGCCAACGTTACCCGCTGAAAGCATAGTTGAACTTGCTATCGGTCCCAGTCTTCCCTTTCTTGTCTGCCCACTGGAATCCATCGAACGACCGGTCCCTGCCGTCCTCGGCCAGCCTCGCGTACACAGACCCGGGCACTGCAACGTAAGATTCTGCAGGAAGGACGATGCCATTCGATAGCGTTAGAGGCTGGATCAGTTTGCGGTACGCAGACACTGATCGTCTTGTCAGCAGCGGGAAGTCGGTGATGGTTGAGAGTGGGTGCAACGCACGGAGGTTGGCATGGCGCAAGCGCTGGGATTCCTTGAGAACAGAGTCCATCCGGTGTAGCTTGGCCAGACCAGTTGCTAGCAGTTGGTCCTCGCCGCCCTGTGACCACCGCGGCTAGCTCGTCCCTGAGTGGCTGAATGTACTCTGGATGGGCGGCGAGGTCGAACAGGGCTTGGAGCAGCTGCTTACATTCTATCAGTATGGTTTATGGAAAGGTATCCTTCCTTTCATCGGGATTGAGGACCCACCACGCGGCTTGTGCTCTGGACGCCGGCGATATTGATCATGACCATAGCCTCAACCAGTCGGTCGGTGTTCCTTGCCTCTTTCCCCGCATCATCTACGAAAGATTGGATAACATCCACAGGCCTTTTGAACTCCGCTTGTCTCAACGCTTGCTGACGTTGCTTTGGCCCCTGGCGTTAATCCCGGAATCATAAGCCCAGTGGAATCGACTTACCTGATGAAGTGGACGCAAAAGACCATGTATAACACGCAGCAACTGACATAGACGTTTCATTTCGGGAATAAAAAGGGCCGCCACTGGGCGAACCAGCCGGTGATATTGCGCTAGTGCCAGTGCTGCTTTGAATGAGGCCCCGGGAATTTCGACGCACGTTTGCATCTAGGGCCATGGTTAGCAGCAAGATTAGCCAACGGTGGGGGTCATGGACCCAATCAAAGTATAGCGACCCAGGAACCGCTCACACAAGTCCACGGCGGACGCTACACCAGCGGGTTTAGCGCCTTGGTCCACTGCATTAGCATCTCCCAGCTCCACTTACAGACTTTGTGTTCTGGCTTCCACGCATACTCGTTGACCTGTTTGGGCGGCAGGACATATACGTGGCGAAACGGGGATTTAAGAAGATAGACTTGATCAGGGTTCTGCATATGTGAGTGGCCCGGTCACCATTCTTCGGATTTTTTTTCTCTCGAAAACTAAAGGGATATATGTATGTACCTTGAGATATTGTTCCTCCACCAATGTCTTGTAGTCGGTATCCTTCGTTCCAGCCAGGATCGGAATCCCCTGAGGGGGTGAAGCACCCGAAGCCTTTGTGGATGACCGTATCCAACGCGATGCGGTCACCACAGCGATTAGGCCTGCTAACCACAGGCTGATCATTTCGTGAAGTGTTGGGGAGATGGAACAAAAACTGGGACTAAGCAGGGGTTGCCCTCAAAAGCAATTTATTTTCCGTTTCGTATTCGTAGATCCTGTTTGATCGGGTTCGATTTATTTCCGTTGTCTTGCGCCCTAGATACGCTCCCTCCTTCCATTCTGCCATCTCAAGGACGGAATATTATACCACGCGAGTTCCATCCTAGGTGTTCGATGAGCGGACTCTAACTCTGCCCCGGCCTAACAATCTACCCGTACACGCGGGCGGGCGCGTTCGTCGGCGACAACCTTGTAGCGTGAGTACGTAGTGAGCGGTCCTTTTGTCTCACGCCGCCTGGACTGCAGTGCGGCGGTCGGGACTGGGATGTCGGGCACTAAATGCGCCCCCGACAAAAGAATCATACAGAGTAAGCACTACCGATCATATCTCCGACTAGCGTCAAATAGAGCTACCCAAGGAAAGCCTCGTGATTTGGGTACAGGTGATCAGACCTTCAGATCTTTGTTTTCGTGAAAGCTGTTTGACTATGTGTCAACTGATAAAAAAAATTACAGTATCAAGCCTGAATTGGCGCCATGGTATCTTTTTAATGCAGTGGTACTGTTGGCGCCATAATTTCTAATACCTATTGCGGTGTCTCGATATTCGACTCAGACAGAATCGCGACTTTCCAGGCTCACCGTTCGATCCGATTCCCAAACAGTGCAAACTAGAGAGACCCTATTTATTATGCAGTTTTGGTACGTATTTTTATGTATTTGTCTTTGTGAAGGGCTAAAGCTAGTATATGAGTCTATAGTAGCTAGGCCACAAACTGTTTACAATAGCTTGAAGAACAGAAGGGAGACACAGCTTCAGTCAGTCCCTAATAATGGTTTTCTGTTGTTCTTCACCGCCTTCCTTAGCAAGCCCGGCCACGGTATGTGTTGGCCGTCTCTCTAGGCGTCAATCAATCAATCAATCAAATCAATCAATCAAAATTCTATTAACCTGGTGAAGCCTATCTATTGAAACGACAGGCTATGAGACTCTCTAGGCGTAATTGCTAGTAATGTATACTTAGGAATATCGAATGATGAAGGTCTGATTCTTTCAATCTAGCTGCAAACGGTGGTTTAAATACATGAAGAATAATAAGCAATCTAGCCTAAAAAGGCAGCTAGAAGACACATAACTTTTGAACCATGGAAATAACAGAAAAATCTGCATAATCCTCGGGGATCGGTAGTTACCAATACCGATGTCCGGAATAGGAAGGTCTCCTATGTAACTAGCGGTCACATACGGTTGACAGTATGCCATACCTGGCCCACATCGGGTTCAACCCGTTACAGTCTTATAGTAAAGAGGAATTAGAGGATCTAGACGAACAGGATTAATAGGAACAGCCAGTTGAAAGTAAGAATCAATAAGAGATTTATACTTTAAAAAGCCTCTTTTTTACCCCATTCAGAGTTTAGGAATCCATAACACTTACACATGGAGATGGCGTCCTGTGTGGGACATTAGAGCACGGAGGGTTTGGTCTAGTCTGAGACAAATTAGGTTGCATAGGTCCCGTGAAGACGATCGACTTGACATATATCATATATCGTAATCGATCTTAGGTTACCTTGTCTGGGATTCGTTTAGGGCATCTATAGATATTAATCTAGACCAAAGAAAACAAAAACAAAACGTAAAAGGAATATTTTTCTTTCTTTTTTTTTTTTTTAAAAAAAAAGACTATCAATATCATCAACCTAAACATAAAGCCATATCTTTCGGGCATACTCGTTTATCCGTCAATCATTTAGCCTCCTAACCAACACCTCGAACCTTTTTCATCGCTGCCCTAACCCTTTCCAGCTCATTTCGAGCAAGTTACAACTTCCGCTGCTTCGCACAACAAGAGCTGATCAACAGAGCAGCCGCACAGGCAAACAACCACCACCAGCCATTCTGCAAGCTCTTGGCGTACACCTCGATGATCGTGTGGTACAGTTCACCGGAAAACTCGTCCTTGACCTTCTGCACGTCGGCCAGGATAACCCCGATCTGCTCCGAGGTCAATGCTGCCGTGAGCTGGGCCAGGTTGGAGCGCAGCTTGTTCTGGTACAGCGCGGCGTAGATAGCAATCCCGAACATGTCGCCGACGGTCTGCAGGAAGATCACCATTCCAGTAATTAGACCGATATGCATGGGCTCCACCAGGAACTGCGATCCGACAAGTAGACCCTCCATGACGGCTCCCTGTCCAATACCGATAATGATCAGCTCGACAATTGCCTCTCCGCGGCTGGTGCCTGCGTGCCAGCGGGTGATAAGGCCGCTGGCTAGCGTTGTCAGGCCGGCACCGACCCAGGCGTTTGTCAGAGTCAGGCCCCATTTGCTGGTGACCCAACCAGCGACGGGGTTTCCGATGGCGAGGCCCAGCATCATGGGCAGGAGAGCGACGCCGGAGATGGTGGCGGAGTCACCGTAGACCAGTTGGAAGAACTGAGGCACGTAGTACATCATTCCGAGAAGATTAGCCCCGTAAAAGAACTCGGCGATGAAGATGGCGATGATGGCGGGTTTGTGCAGGAATGACGGCGGCATGAGCGGGTCCTTGGCGAAGTGCTCCCAAACAACGAAGAGGACCAGTAGGACGAACCCGCCCACGAAGCAGCCGATGACGCGGGAATCAGCCCATGGGAAGTTGTTACCAGCCCAGGAGATGGCCATCAGCAGACAGGTGGTGCCGCCGATGAGGGTCATGGTACCGAGGATGTCGAAGTTCTTGATCCGCTCCTTGTCGAACTTGGGGGTCGGCAGGCGGAGGAAGAAGATGGTGATCAGAAGACTAATAGGCGAGATACATAGGTTGATGTAGAAGCACCACCGCCATGTGACGTACTGAGAAAAAGCACCTCCAAGAAGGGGGCCAGCGACATCCGCAATGGCCCAGACCAATCCGGTGAATGAGATGTATTTACCGACATCACGCAGGGGGACCAGGTCCGTGATGATTACATTGACCAATCCGTAGATCCCACCGCCACCGATCCCCTGAACCACTCGGGACCAGATCAGCATGTCCATGCTCTTGGAGCCGCCACAGATACCGCTGCCGAGAGTAAAGATCACAGTTCCGACGATGAACATGTTCCGACGACCGAAGATGTCGCCCAGTTTGCTGTACAAGGGCAGGACCAGGGCAAAGGTCACCAGGAAACCGGTTCCCAGCCAGGAAGAGTTGTTGTACGCATTGAATTCGGAAGAGATGATTGGAACCGCGGTAGCGACAATGTTGAAGTCCAGCGCCGCGAGAAGCATGCCAATATTCAATCTTCGGCATATCAGCGACATTTATCAAGGCCCTCCCTCCGTCGGGGGTGGATAGACATACCCAAGCATAACAACCCAGAATTGGGACAGCGACAGCCCAGCTTTCGCGCCCGGCCTTGTGTCCTCGGCCGGCAGCGCATCGCCGGAACCCGAGCCCTTCTCGAAATCGGCGGAGGAAGAAGTCAGCGAGTGGTTGCTAGGAGAATTTGAGTCGCTGTTGTGCTTCTCAGATTCAGCCTGCGGAGCCATGGGGGTGTTCTGTTCTTTCTTCCCGAACATTGCGTTTGGAAGACTTCGTTGGTGGTCGTTCGCTGCGTTTGTAGTCTGGCCTTGTAGTGGTGCTTTGTGCCGCTGCTGATACACTGGTCGATGGGAAGGCGAGAAGGGAGGCTATATAGGACTCGATCGAGCAGTCGCACGAAGCTGTCATCCTCCACGCCGCCGCTGCTAACTGCATTGCGGCGGCCCTTGGCAGCTGGTCGCCGCGCGCTGATCACCCGCAACCCCCGGCAAGCCGCAGCTCTGTCGGGGGTTTCGGGTATACAGCTCAGCCGGTGTTAGGATTTAGTGGCCCGGTGTTTCCATCGAGGTCGAACCATAGAGAGATGACTCAAATGAGTCGGCAGGCCCAGAGCGGCCAGCGGCCCCACAGCGGGATCTCCCCGACACCCCTGGCCCCGACGCCGCCGGAGGGACCCGAGGCTCTTGTAGTAGTTAGTTAGTTAACTATAACTATAGTTAATTCTGCTTAATAAGTGGGATTTCTGCATAATTCTCCACTATATGTCTTGTTTGTGCTAATATGGGTACTTATGGGTACCTATGGGTCTTGTTGAAGTCTAGTAGTAGGAGAGGAGGCGGGACTCTGGGTTGAGGTCTACTGGCACCGGTTGGAAGAGGGCAAGTGTGTAACAATTTGCATGGGATATATAGTATATATATAGTCTAAGATAACCAACTTCCAAAATGAGAGGCCACGACTGTCACGGGCTTGGCAGTGGGTAGGTGCGCTTCTACCCGCCAAGACCGTTTAGTAGGTCTGTTGGACGTTTTACCAACTGAGCTACTAAAAAGACCAGAATACCAAGTCAACGACTTGGTACGCGCATCGCTCTATATAGTGGTTTTTGGTCAGTTCGTCACAACGACGAAGGATGAAAGCAGCAAACACAACTAACCCTAAATCGTATTCAGGCACAACCACCCCCCTCCCCCAGGGCCCCTATTTGACCATGGAAAAGTCCAGCATTTTGCATGCGAACTTCAGCTGGGTTGTCAGGGGTTCCAGCTGTTGTAGATAATCCAGTAAGCAAATTGGGCCGTAAGCGATGGGAGACATGAATCTTACGTTTTCCTCCCACATGACATTAAAGTGGTGGCCAGGGATGTCCAGGACGGTGCGAACCAAACCTCCGGATCCCTCCCACAGCAGGCGCATATGCCTCCACCGATCAACGGAGACCAGGGAGGTAACTCCATCCTGTGGCCTGTCGTGTGGCACATATTCCTTGCAGCGGAGGAGCACGACCGGCAGCGGCCCACGTGCTTCCGGGGTGTCGGGGGACGGACTCCAGTCAGGGACCGTCCATTTGTCAACGAGTCTGCGGGCCCGCTTCATCGACTGCGAGACCAGCATTCTGGTCTCGGGAGCACAGTGGGAGTGGAAGAACGGTCGCGGTGGGGCCAGGACTGGGGCCAGGGCATCGGGAACAGAACCATGAGGGTAGGGGCTGTCGATCATCACCACGCCCACCACGTGGAACAAGTCCTTCGACTGCAAGATTTGTGCCACCTCAAGTGCGATAAACCCCCCCAGCGACCAACCGCCCAGAAAGACTCGCGCAGACTTCACGGTAGACTGGATGAGGTTCGCATAGATACGCGCCATTCGGGGAAGCCCGGACCAAGCCCGTCCAGTAAAGAAATGGGGATCAGCGATGCCGTAGACAGTTCGATTGAGCGGCCCGATATGATAGTAGGATATGGTGGTTCCACCGCCATCGTGGAAGAGGACCAGAGGCGTGGAATTCGGGTAGTCTTGGGGACAATCTTGAATCAACCCTGGATTGGGTTCCATGATCACACGCGATTGGGAGTTTAGACTCTTAGACTCGCCCTGAGGTCGCTTGCGGTCGCCGCGAGTATGATAGACTGCAGACGTTACCACAGAATCTGGAGATCGCTGCTGTAGAGCGACACAAAAGTCCTATATAGCTATTCGAACGGTTTCCGAAGATAGGCCCCATTTACATACTCCTGCCGTGTCAGCTTTCACTCTCCGTCAACAAATACAAGGGATCCTGTTTCTCCCAAGACCAATCCCATCTCGACGAAGCTGACCGCGGACAGTGGGAAGGAAGCCTCAATACCAGAAGGAAGCGTCCAATGATACACACGCAGGGCTCTTTTCGAAATCCGCGGCCCGATCTCGTGTCCGTAATCCCAAGATGACACGAGGCCGCATCGGGGTGACGGCGAACGGCGCACAAGCGGTGCACTAGAAGATCCGCCGCTGCAACGGTCGGAGAAATGGTCGCACGAGCGGAGATATGGTTACCAGTGCCAGATCTGGATTGGCCCCGCCAGTCCCCCGGTATATTGGCTCTAAATAGCGCACTGCGTCGGCGATCTGCACAAGGATGTCGGCGTCGGCGCAGCATCTGGAGGTCGAGCAGTGCTTGACTGTTATGTGATAGACGAGGGACAGTGTGTGGAAGCGTGATATGGCATACCCTACGTAGATACGGCCGGTGCAATGTCTTTATTAAATGCCCCATGGATGGAGGAGGAACGAATGTGAGATTATGTAAGTATTGTTTTCCTTGCACTCTTTCGTCTGGAATAGCCGTGGTCGAGTCTATGTTCACTCGCCATGCATCCAAAACGTGTCGGAAGCGATGGCGCACCTGCCACTTATCCACCAGTGAAGCGTACGCTTACGATGATTGCGCTCATTGCCTTGATGGAGCCTATCTCGGCGACGATGTTATTCCCATTCGTTTACTTTATGGTAAAGGACTTCGACCCGACTGACGTTTAACACATCGGTCTCCGAGCCGGTTTGATCAGTACGTAAACATCCATATATCTAACGGACAGCACTCTCGCCTGCGTGCAGTGGCTGAGAATCTCTAGCATCTGCGTTCTTTATTCCTCAGATGATTACCACAATCCCATATGGAATCGCATCTGATCGATACGGCCGCCGTCCTCTGCTGCTCACTGGTCTACTCGGGAGTGCCGCATGTCTGTGCCTCTTTGGGCTATCTCAGTCTCTTCCATGGGCGCTGATGACACGCGCATTGTGTGGATTTTGCAATGGTACTGTCCATTTACCCCCGTCAGAACATGATGCCATCTTTCTGGCGCTCTGGATGTTAGGGAACACGGCCATCACGCGAACTGTTGCGGGGGAGATAGCAGACCAAGCCAACCTCAACTAGGGCAGGGTCTTCGCCATCTTTGGGCTCACCCAGGCCATGGGCTACGTTGTGGGACCCATGATCGGAGGCAATCTAGCTAGACCGTCCGAACTGTATCGGTGGAGTGGACCGGGTGATATATTCGCAACATACCCATACCTTCTCCCCTGTCTCGTCGGCACGTTCCTTATACTCACAACAACAGTTCTCAGCGCTGTCTATCTCGAAGAGACGAACGAAAATGTCTGCAGTCTAAGAGAGAACGATGAACCCGTGGTAGAAGACGCCCAAGAAAGGACCCCGTTACTGAGAAGCCCTGCGGACGACGGAAAGAACCACCACGACTCAATGTTCACGCAGTCTCTAGTCGCACTGATGGTTAGCATTCTCTTTATGAGCTTGCACGCCATCGCGTTTGACGAGCGACTCTCCGTGTTCCTCGCTTTCCCATCCAAATCCTCGCCTCCCGTCGGCCTCGGATTCTCTTCGTCGCAAATTGCGACCACACTCGCTTCAATGGGCCCGGTGCTGCTTTTTGCCCAGCTTGTCGGGTATCCAACGCTGGCCAATCGTTTCCGGCCATTGATCCTGTGGCAATGGTCTACTGTCACATTTATTGTGCTTTATCCGATTCTATCACTGCTCCCGCAACTCACAGTCCCTTCGGTAGCACGTCCAGTGCTCTGGCTAGTCCTATTCTCCCTTCTCATGGGCAGATTCGTCGCCAACGTGGTCGCATATACCAGCATGGCCGTCATGGTAGTCGCACCCTCACATCCCATACCCCCATCTCATCGCCACTAACATATATGCAGTTAAACCAAATGGCCCCCTTGGGCAAGAGGGGCGCAACAATGGGGTCAGTAAATTATTGCTTCTTTCCTTGGAAACATAGCCAGCCTCACGGCGTATCGTTTCATTTGGCTAACAATATCTTCTTCCTTTTGTTTCACGCAGAATGGCCCAGACCGGGATGTCCTTTGGCCGTGCTCTTGGCCCAGCTCTTGGGGGTACGATTTGGTCTTGGGGTTTGAGCAGCGGTCTGCCGCCACCGTTTGATTCGCACGCTCTGGTACGGTAATCTGAATCTCTGTCGCTTGGTTTCCCTTTTTGGCAGGATGGAAATCTAGTGTTGAGAGCTGATATATACTTAGTTTGTTTTTCTCGCTATTCTTATTGTTTACAGGGGCTTTCGTCTCTGTTCATCAGGAAGGCGGGTGTTGGGGCTTAGGTAATCTCCAATGGAAAGGGATTCTTGGTCGTGAGAATAGGTTGGAAATATTATTGTGGCTTTGAGATGGTGTCTGTTCAGCTGGAATGTGGATGTAGGCGTTGGCATGATCATACACTAGCATGGGCGCCGTTAGGCTGACCTATGGACTGCCGTACCTCATGCAGATTTCGTCCTTGATGGCAGTCGGGGCAGTATGGAAATTGGCAGGTACGATATATCTGTGTTTGATCTTTGATTCTTGTCATAGTGTCCACCTTTTGAGGCCATTCGGCATCGCAAAATGGAGTCGAACATAACATAACCTTATACACTATATACAGTTACCTTGACTTGTAGATGCCAATTTATCATCGGGCAAACTCCATATCTATATATACAGTGGAAATTTGCAATCATACTAGGTCTCAAGTCGCGAGAAAACATCCCTCTGAAGGAAGCCGTCGACTAAGTAATCTGTGCTTTTTTCTAGGGCTGCAACTGTGTCTCTTTCATTGAATAAAGAGGGTAGCCCCGCTGGAGGAGGGCGCATGAACTGCTCTATGTTCGCCTCAAACCAATCCAACACGGGTAGGAAAGGGTGGTCCAAGGTATTGTTCTCTATGTCGGCCCTTAACGCCGTCATCCACTCACTGTGGTCCATCGTTGTGACTGGCCGACCACTGCGGTTATTAAGAATACTGCAGAAGGTCTCAATCGAGACCCCATCGTGACAATCCACTGCCTGCTCGCCCTGCGGGTTCAAAACAGTGTCCACCACAAGGGACGCCATCTGTTCAACTCCTGTCACTGGAATATGTCCTTGCTGCAGGTCACCGCTCACCCTTCCAATAGACAGGATGCTGTAAGCCAGCCGCCACAGGAAGTCATCGGGATGAGCAATTCCTTCCCATCTTGTGCCTGCCAGAAATCCCGGTTGTACCACCCGTCCTCGCGGGACCGACCGTTTCGGCCGTTTGCCGAGCTGGTCATTATATTTCTCTACCGTCATCCGTGACAGAAACTTGATTTGGTCATACCCACATGCTTGAGCGAGGCTGTTCGATACTTGCTCTCGGGTTTCGCTGGGGGTTGGCAGATAGCCGCTGCACACGTAGGTGAACGGACACGGCGTTGGCATTTCGGAAAGTGCCTCCAGGATAGCGCGCGTGCTGTCGACATTGGCGGGCTTCAGTGTCGAGAAATTGTCCAACCAATTGACCCGGGCACCATTGTGGATGAGTCCATCAATACGCATCCGACCCGTCAGGTCCATCCAATGTGAATCGTCAAGACCCAGCCTTGGAAGATTCAAATCACCAAGCCACACTTCGATTCGGGACTCGAATTCAGCCCGCCACCACTGACCAAGCTGAGCATGGTCTCGTATCTTGTCTAGGGCTTCCTCTTCATTCCCTGCACGCACTAAGCCCACAATGCGGGCCACAGTGTGGTGCTCCAATAGTTCCTGAAGCACCTGGCTGCCTAGAAAGCCAGTCACCAAGGTTGCAAATATTGTTTTGGTCTTGTTAGTGTGGATAGGTACCGGGATATTGATGGAACGCAATTCACCGAGGAGGTCTTTGGGAATGTTGGCACTTGACTGTCCGTCTGATCCGCCGCTGGCCCGCTCAGAAAGTTGCTGCTCAATCTGACACACTGTGATTCCAGGCTGTTGGAGGTCTTGAACCCGAATGGCGCCTCCCAAACGGCGGCGGATCTCCCTGGAGAAGTATACAGTTTGGATGGAGTCCAACCCTACACTGGTCAAAGGAAAGTCCCAGCGGCGCAGGCCTTTCCCAGTGGAGGGATGATTTTTCTCAACAAGGTCTCCAATGATGTTGCTAAGTTCGATTGCTCGCGAGTTAGCGGGATCGATCTGGGACCATGTATCATTGAGGGCACCACCAGGTCGAAGCGCCATCTTCTCAGAGGACGTCATCCTCACCCAGTCTGCAACTAGACGCTGACGGTCAATCTTCTTGGAATCAGTCAGCGGCATTGACCGAAGAGGTACGAAGGCACTGGGGACCATGTATGATGGTAGGGTCTTCCGTAAACCCGTGCTCATGCGGTCTGCCAAGGACGATGGTTGCTCATATTTTTGTTCTATGAAAGCCACCAGGCCTGAGGAACTCGCATTTTCGTCCCCAGCCAGAATGACTGCAGCTCGTTCACCACCGGGAAGAAAGTCACAAATGACATTTTCAATCTCACCAAGCTCGACACGCAGTCCGCGGATCTTGACGAACCCAGCCCGACGGCCACAGAATATCATCTTTCCATCATGCTCCCACCGAGCGAGATCTCCCGTTCGGTAGCAACGTGCCAGAAATGGCCCAGTGAGGGTCGAGAGAGAATCCGGTAGAGAATGAAAGCGTTATCGTTTTGCGCGGTATCTTTCAGGAAACTATGCGCGAGATAGGGACTTTGAAGCAGCACCTCACCTTCCACCCCAATCGGTTGCAATCTGTGAATGTTGTCTGGATCGACGATCCAACACTTTGCACCAATACCGCGTCCAACCGTTTTGGGGTTATCATTGGGGCCCATCTTCAGCTCCACTGCATCCCAGACTCCTCCTTCAGTGAGACCGTAGATATTGCTCAGCCTGACCTTATCAGCCCAGGTGCAATGGAATGGGCGCTTCACCCCCAATGTACAAATTTCTCAACCTTGGTAGGGCTTCTGGTCTCAAGGATGTCACAGTTGTAGGAGTCAAAGACGCGTCGGTCACGTTAAGTTTATGCATGACCCCCTCGAGGTCGTCAATGCGTTCCTCCTCGGATGGTATGCAAACAGTGCCCCCGACAACCCATGGTGCAAATAACTCACATATGCTAGCATCGAAAGAGAAAGAGGCGAACTACCTCGTGGAGGTCTCCAATCCGAAAGTCTGGCTCACGGCCTCTAACCCCCCGGATACTGCAGATGCAAAGAAGACAGTCATTGATTTTATGCGCTTAACGCAGACTGAACGCAGGCAGTCTACCTGAAACGATGAAACAGTACCAGGAGAGATCTAGAATAAAGTAGTCACTTAGAATGAACATGATTGCGATTGCTGTGCCTGGCGTCACACCTGTTCCCTGATGCTGCGGCTGAATGAGGTGCTATCTTCGATTACCTTGCACTTAGGCCGAAGATTTCCTCAGCCCGTGACCCGCTAGCGCCGCAGGCTTGCCAGTAGCAGCACAGACTATTGGATAGATTTCAGAGGCAAGATCTTAGTGCTGCAGTCACCCTGCCCCCGCCTGAAACGCTAGGCACTGCAGCGCTAAGTTAAGTTCTGCGTACGTCCACTGAATACGTAGTCTGTCCTGGTGACAAGCGTTACATGAAGACAATCAATTATTTGATGTCAGATTACAATGTTCAATATATTATATCTATGAAATAAAAAAAAGTATAAGCATACGTGGCGCATTCCTGGTTGAAAAGAAAACTGGCTGGGCGGTGCAGCCCAAGTCGACTGTCGCCGCGTATATACACTAGAAAAGCCCTTACTACTAAGGGTTGACCCTTTTTAGTGTAGCGGTATTTTTCTGCC